TTGTCTTTTTCACCTCTGTACGGTTTACCAATCGCTTCTTTTTCCAAGCTTTTTATCTTTGTCAACAATACATTTTTCTCTTGTACAAGTGCTAAAACACAGCATTACGTTATATATCATAAGAATTTGGAAAAAATTCTTTAGATGGTGACAATGATGAAAGAACATAATATAATAAATAGAATTGTTTTTAGAAACAATTTCTATATATTATATTATTTATATTATTATTTGAATTTTCTATAAACTTAGAAAAATGAATACCTTCATTTTTCTTCTGCAGCTTCGTCACTTCGCTCGTCGACGTTTTATTCGACATCGTCTCCATGGTCGACAATCGACGCAGTAATATCTCGCTCTTTTCCTTCTCTGCCTTCTCGCATCTCGCTCTCATATCGTTTAATTGAGACCTCAATTTTTCTATCTCATTCTGCGAGGAATAAATATCACTGTTATTTGGCACTTGTCATCAGAATTATGCTATTGATATATTTAATTTCGCTTAACTCTGACTCGCTCTCAACTCTGACCCTCATAAATAACATATAAGAGTTGTAAACTGTGAGACTATAAAAATAACTTTGCGCTTGGGTAATTTAATGCATTTTTTAATGTATTGCTGCATATATGCAATTTTTTTCTAAAATAAAAAATAAGCCAGATCTGAGAGGTTCAAATACATATCAGATATATATGTATAGATATATGCGTTATCACATAAGACAGACATCGAAATCTTTCTTTACAAAAACTTTTCTTTAAATTATACACAGGCGTAACATTGATTTACATACAGTTAATATCTGAATAAGTTAATTAACATTTAAACAAAGTAATGCATTTGATGATAGTTTTGGGGTAGTATCGCGAGAATGCTTCGTAATTCACGATATACGATATATTATGATATCTGGATGTATATACAAGTGCATAAACAACTGACACACTACGATACGATGGGCGACATACGATCGTTATATTAATCGCAAGATTTTCCGTGGTACGTCGAAGTAACGAAAGCGACGATCGGCTCACCTCCTTGGTATCTTCTCTCTTTACCGTGACATTATCCAGCCCGTCCTGGACCACCTGTTTCGGCGGTGCTGGTCGTGATTTCCTTACCTAAAGTAGTGTGACAAATGAGAGCGCAAAATGGAATTTCACATTTGCTCACTCTTTTATCATTTGAATGTCGCTACGCTAACCGTCTGCTATGCAACTACAAGGCGCCTTTATACATATAAAAAAAGACGTTTACGAGCGTTTTATGTGCGTGTTTCGTATGCAGATGTGTATGTTTTATTGCGACGACATAAAGCATTCCATGCCACTAGTGGGTTAGTTAACGTAGGAATACCTGAATAATAAATTCAACGTCGTTTTCCGAGGTGCCACCGTTGGTGTTGCTTATCACATTTTTTATCTGAAGCTTCGCCGGTTTTTTAACGTCTGCGCCGACACGTAGATTCGCGCGACCCGCAAATTAAGGTGATTTAACAAAAGAGAGAGCCAACATTAGTTACTAATTCCTATATTAATTTGACGTCTCAATACTTCGCTTTTATTACTTTCTTTGGCGTCTTCTGGATTCTTATCTATGGCGGAGAGATCCATCAGCGATGTCCATCCAGTCGTCGCCGCCGATTGCGAATGATTATTCCTGGTTTCATCTTTCGCCAAATTCGTAGCGGAAGACCATATCCTTTTGCTCTCGGATCCACTTCAAAGTTCATGCACAACAATCAATTTTTCTATAATATTCATCTATATTCTATAGTTTCCCCCTAACGATCAACGTACATTACTGCAATATTCTATCTTGCAGATATTTTATTAATTCACGTTAACAACGAATTTTCCGCGTTATGTAATAATAGACATTTTATACAATTTTTAACGACGGAAAGACCTACCGTGCAGAATCCGAAGAAAGACTGGGGGACGAAGATGTGATGTCTCCGAGACTGTTTCTTCTACCGCCATGCTCTTTGTAGTCCCTGAGAAGCAATTATTAATTCGAGAAATGCGCATTTCTCATCTTAATGCTTCTACTTTTTAAATAATTACCTAAAACATCGTTTGCAACGCGTTGGCCACCGAACCTGCGGGTGAAAACCCAAAGGGCAAAGAGGATCGCCTTTTTTAGACGAATACATGGAGTGCATCCTGTGTGCAAGTAGTTTTTTCAGTTATATTTTTTTATATTTCGAAATAAAACAAATTATTTATATTTCTGAGAAAAAAGAAAAAAAAATGTATAAGGTGCAAGTAAAAAAAAAAGTACATCCAATAATTTAACAGAAATATATTTATGTTGTTTTTTAAATTTTCTCAAAGCAGCTAATATCTTTACCTATCTATTCCTTATTCTACTTTTAAAAATATGCATAGTATTTCGAGTTCTAAAAAATATTTGTTAATATTATTTAATTTGAAGAGATTTACATATATACTTTGTACAATGGCATGAATTTCTTCTCTTGTAAGCGCGATTAAAGGAAAGAAAGTAGACAATTTGATAAGAAAATTTAAATCCAGTCAACAATACGCTGCGGGGCACACTTGTAAGGAAAAGAAAGATTTGCATTTCATTAAATTCGCTGGTAATGAGTTATTGGTCAGTTTTTACAACTGCATATCTACTGACAGATTTATCATTATCGGTGAATTTTAAAAGAATTTGAAAAATTGTAAAAAGAAAAAATTACGCGCATGTTAATCGCTTCAATTTTATACGCGTTGACACGTATAATATTAAGGAGTTCCTAATTGCGATGAAAATCATAATCAGTGTAATACGTATATTCCATTGCGCCTTTGTGCCCTATGTGCTGTCAATAATATACCGTAATGCTAAAGTAATTGTTGCGTGAGCACAATTTTGAATTTTCATTCAATAAATCGCGTGATCGTGAAATCTGTGAGGAACATTCTAATGAATCACGTGATGATAAGAAATAGAGAGAAAAGAGCAAGAAAAACTTGTTTAGAAAGTTGATTTCTATCTGGTGAATTTACCAGCGGACATTCACGAGCTGCATTGTCGTCTTCACATATTTCTGACAATACGCATAGGCACACAACGCACATACGTACACACACACACACACACACACACACACACATATGTAACAAGCGTGGCACTTGGAGAACCATGCGCGCCGATGGTTTATTTATAAAATTTCAATGCCACGCTATCTCTCTTTCCCTTTTTTCACTCATCTTTTGCCTACGTAAAGCGAAGGCCAGAGGAGACCGGAAGGAGCGCGCTGCGCGGGGGATAGATTTAATTTACGTTCTCCATCTGTGATACCTATCTATCTCTCGACGATTTATCTCTTACGCAATCCGTCGCGTCGATTTTTATACGATGTCTGCTACTCACTCGATCGACACCGATATTAACTCAAATGCAGCGGGCCGACTTGAATTAAATTTATCCTAGGCTGTTGCCGGTCAGTCGATCGTCGCTCGGTCAGAAACGGGCGTTGTACGTCGTCGTGGCGCACGTCGTCTCTTCCGTCCTGAATGAATACGGTAATCGCATCGTAATCGCGTAATCGGGCAGCACTCGCATCGTAAAGAGGGGTAGTTTTTCGCGCGCTTGTCTTTCCCCGCAGGACGATTCGCCTCTCTATCCGCGGATCTCGCTCATTTCTTCTATTTCTTCTTCCTCCTTTTTGTACGCGTCCGCGTTCGAGATTCCTACGCCGCGCGCGACGTCACTAATAGCACTGACACAGCTCCGCTATTACGGGGGTTTGTCCGTTTTCCCCGTAGACTGTGTGCGGGTATACGGGCGGTTGGACCTACGCCAAGGTGTATATTTGTCTCTAGCTATAAATATAGAGAAATGCGAAGACATCTCGAGCGCGTGTCGTATGTATGCGTGCACGCGCCGCGCGAGGCGAAGATTCATCTTCATTCATTTTTTTTGCCTTAATTGCGCGAGCGAAAGTGACACGCGATCGGACTCGGAACATAGCGGTATCTCCGCGAGATATTTTTTATTTTAATATTACCAAAAAAAATATCATAATGAATATTCCCTCGAATTTGAATGCATTTCGACCGTCTTCAGGAATGGACGGATTTAGCAATATAGGTAACGACCGATGAATTTTGTATTTATGCATTTTCTATTTTGCGAATATATTAATTAGAGAAGATTGTTATAATTGCAAACTGAAGGGGATGAAATAAATATTTGCGATAGAAAATATGAAAACACGAGAAACGTATACAACAAAAAGATGTACAACAAAATGTTATAAAATAGGCAGGTATTAAAAAAAATAATTAATTATTTTTATTAACTTTTATTAATACACCAAACATTTCACCCCCTCTCCATCACACAGTATAAAATTGTATAAACGTGGTCTATATAATATATATGATACATTTATAATACATCATGATAAACGATTAACTTGCCGAATACGATGTTTTAATATTTTGCATTATTTCGTCAAGTTATCTACCCCCATTTAATCACTCTAAAATAAAATAATTGAAACGCATTGCACATCATTGAAATTTAAATTCTCTCAAAGAACATAATTCGATATTTTAAAACTTTCTATATTCGTGCTCTTATTGCGTGACTTTATTTCCATATAAGAATGTAATTGAAAAATATCAAGCTTTTATACTTTTTTTTTCATTTTTGTATAAAAATGTATTAGTTTCTATATTTTAGAAAAATGTTGCTTTTTATTTTTCTACAGTCCTAATAATAAAAATCCCTAACGCGATTATGGAATGTCCAGTAAAAAGTGTAATTTTTCCAATGAAGAGTAAATTTGATAAACAACCTACTTTAATACAAATCTTTAATTTTTAAAATAATTATTTTTTATCTCTATTTTATTTATTTACAATATAATTGCTATGTATTTATTACATTTATTGTATCTTCTTATAAAAATGATATTTAAATTTTACATTTTGATATTTAAAATTCATTTTGAATCGTTTCTCATGATCCTTTATACATATTTGTGTAAAATTATAGTGAATATCTTTATAAGTTTTCAATATATGCATACGAGTATAAATCAAATATTTTGTTTTTGTTATGTCCATATTTCACACAACACACCTTGAAAAGTTTAGAATAAACTCTAAAATAAAAAAATAATATAAGTATAAATATAATTCATTTATACTGCTTATGATGCATTTATATAACTGCGTTCGTGTAACAGCGTATAATTGCATCTTAAGGAGTGACAATGCAATTATATTGTACTCCTTGCAACAATATACGACTGATTCAAGAGTAGTTCGAAAGTTGTAAAATATAGTTCATAGTACGCGATTTTTGCGAATACAGTACGAATGTACTATTGCTCTTATTGCTTAATTGGAATGTAAAAACGCGTTATCTTCGCGTCTAGATATACGCATGTAATTGCTCTGGATTCAATTGAGAACATTTTACTACTATTTACCACAGCTAAATGATGAGCTGTTGAGATTATTTATTATATATATTTATGTATATATATAAATTGTTATATTTTGCATTTTTAAGTATAGATGCATATTATACAGACCATTCAAAAAACAATGTTTATATCACATGTCCCGCGAAAAAATATCATTTGTATTAATAGAAGACTTATACATTGTTGAGTACTTTTTTTCACTTGCGTACAACTGTTTTCGTTTTCTACAGAGATTAATGTTTAAATGAAGATAAACATCGGTTAAGTTTTTCAAAAGTATAATTATAAATATGTATAAATTTGCACAGTACTTTACTATTATCTTGATTTTTTACATGTATCATGACATTGCGAAACTTTTTTATTTTGTTCTGTATATCATTTCCGAGATTATATTTGTACGCATAAAGAATCAAGACTACCGCATACGACATCATCCGCGAGAATATAACATGAAATAATTTTATTATCAATTAATTTTATATAAGAATAACTTTTTGCATTATCAATATATACAAGGCTGTTTTTATCGTCTGTTTACTCCGACTAAAGCTTTATCTGGAATTCGAATCTCATAACACATTAGATTACGTATCATAATTATGAAACTGTCGATAACGCAATTTTTGATAGCCAGATAGACAAAGAGAAGATAAAGCGTGCGAAAAAGAGACAAAACCGCGTTTTTGTTTTGTGTGTAAATTTCGCACTTTGAACATCTTACAATCTTGCGCGAAGCAGCTCGATCTTTTTGGCGGCGCGTTTCTGCAAATCTGGCAATTTCATGGCAAGCCCCATGTTCCCCTGAATCTTAACCTTCCCTTGGAAGAAAGCCTTCTGCGGATTTAATTTTCCAGAAATGAAATCGACAATATCGGTGTCGCTGATCGTGAACGTTACGTCAGGCTTGGTTTTGCCGTTGTACTCGACTTTGCCCTTGCCCGTTTTTGCGTCCACAATCCAGTATCCCTCGGCACCGCCGGGGCCATTTGTGACTTTAAATCCGTAAACCCCGCGCATTCTGTCAATTAGATTATCCTCGTCTTCCTCCATCGCGATTGCCAGCGTCTTGAACAGCATGTCCGCTTGGAAAATACTTGAATCGGCGGCAACGCTCACGTGTTTCCTGACTACCTCCTGCCTCGGGAAACCCAAGCGATAGAGACCTATGACAACCGCGCCGCCCAGACCTATGTTGTGCTGAAGCGCCAATTTCGCGCCCGGCACCTGTCTCTTGCCGGCCTCGCCGCGAAGTTGCCAGGTAAGTTCGGCGCACTGCGCCAATCCCGTGGCACCCAGAGGGTGCCCCTTCGAGATCAGACCGCCGCTCGGATTCACAACATACTTGCCGCCATATGTGTTATCCCCGGCGTCGACCATCCTGCCACCCTGACCTGGAGCACACAGTCCCAGGGCTTCGTAAGTGAGCAATTCGTTTACGGAGAAGCAGTCATGCAGCTCCACCACATCCACGTCGATCGGCCTATAGTTGCTCGACGCGAAAACTTTCTCGGCCGCGTTTCTCGTCATGTCATACCTGCAAAATAGCACAATGAAATTAATAGCACAATTAAACTAGCGATTGCTATCGCGAGAGAAGTATAAGAGCTCCTGTTTATTTCTCGTACCCGACGATATTCATGCACGATTGAGTGTTAAACGTCGAGGACAGGTCGGTGGACATTTCCATAGCCAGGATTTCGACGGCCTGCGATTCCAGGTGATGCTTACGAACGAAGTCCTCGTTAGCCAGAACGACAGCTGCCCCGCCGTCGGAGGTGGGACAACACTGGAGCTTTGTCAACGGTCCAAATACCTTGGGAGAGCTCATTATTTGCTGGAAGGTGTATTTCTCTTGGAACTGAGAGTACGGGTTGTTCGTGGAATGCAGATGGTTCTTATACGCGATTTTCGCGAAATGCTCGGGCTTGGTACCGTATTTCTTCATATGCTCGATCCCGGCATTGCCGAACATCTGAGCGGTGACGGGACTCTCGCTGAAGCCTGTGCAATCGTGACGATTATGAGAAACAAACAAGTCAAATACGTCAAATGTCGTTCTATCTTGTGTCTTATAGAATCTTGTGTTGACTCACCTGCGATGTCGATCATGAGCTCGACGTGCTTGTCCATGGGATTCGTGCGGTCTGTAAACTTGGGCGCCAGAGAGCCGCGCTCCATCTTCTCGAAGCCGAGCGCTAGAACGCATTCCGCGTTGCCGCTCTCGACGATCTGCTTGCCGAGGAAGAGGGCGGTGGAGCCGGTGGAGCAGTTGTTGTTGACGTTGTAAATGGGACATCCGGTGAGCCCGACCTCGTAGACGGCCCTTTGGCCGCAGGTCGAGTCACCGTACACGTACCCGACGCAGACGGCCTGCACGCTCTTGTAGGGTACGCGCGCATCCTGTAGGGCCTTGGTCACCGCCTCCTTCGCCATTTGCGGATAGTCAAAGTCCTCCCGGCGGCCGGGTTTCTCGAACTTCGTCATCCCAACGCCGATCACGTAGACCCTCGGCTTGTAAACCATCTTGGCGGTACGTGTCTCTTCCGAGCGTGGAAAACACTGGGAAATTTTCGTCGCGAGAGACCTCAGAGACTTCCTCGCGTGTTGCAGCGTGTCGGACGTGGAGGCTGCGAAAGCGGGAGAAACGGAGAAAGAGGGAAAAAAAAGTGACGACGCACGTAACGATGCTGCTGCGGGACTGCGCCGAGATTTATAGTCGATCGAAGTGTACTCCGTCCGTTGGACTTTAATCCTCCATATATCTCGGCGAAGAATTGAGAAACAGCAATGACAAGGCGATTTCCAGGAGGTCCCCGGCAGTTCCCAAGTCGCGATAACGATTAACGAGTGACGAGCGACGATCGCTGTCGATCACGTCTCACATCTCACCACGGCGCGTACGACGACCTAGATCGACGCCTCCGGTGAAAATAATACGCTTCGCGCGAGGAGTTAATTACAGCTGACATGTAATCGAGCCGATCCCGACCGCGGAAAATGTTTCTATCAGTTTCTAGTCAATTTTTTCCACGTATATGAATTCTTAATGTAACGATTACTAATATATACGCCACGTAAATTTGTTATAAATGTTTAACAATTGGATGCGCAAAACAATCACTTTTTGTAAGAAAGATTAATATTTATATGAACTTCAACTGTTAAGAATAATGTTATATCTAATTTCCCTTGCAAATCTGTCGATTTTCTGCACTGTTTTATGCATGCGAGCGAACGTGAATAGAAGAATGAGCGTTTATTATGTGTTTTTAGTATGAAATTATATAATAAGACATGTAATATTAAATAGGATTTTTAATGGAAAAAATTTCTAAATATACATACAGTTTCCAAAGAGGCATCAATTCCCGAGGCGAATTAATTTATGTAAATTAACAAATCGATTTGATGTAACATCTCTTCTTTTTAACTACATTTATTTTTTGCTTGAAAACTATTTGAGCTGAGATTGATGGAATAGAAAATGAAATGATTTCCCATGTAAACTTTCTCTCTCATTCCGTCTCTCTCCGCCCCTCTCCGACACTCATGCATATGTATACATACACTCGTGTGTACACTCGTGTCCGTTCGAAGTGCAGAATTAGATCCAGCTGATCTGAGTCGCGAATGAACGGACCCGTTTAACGTCCGAGTCGCACTACGTATTGGAAATTGAAAATTCGACCAGGAGTCTTATTCTGAAAAAATTTCGCACACGAAAGTAATACAATGGAAATCTATATATAGTATATATGTTAACGTATATTGCAGTATTTTCGCATATTTTTGTATGCAAAATTTGTTGAGAACGAGGCCCGAGATAATTTTAGTTTTAATCCGTTTCGGTCTAAAGTGATTGAATTCTAATCTCAACGCAAATCTTCGATCTTCAATCACTTCAATGCGTAGTGCGACGCGGGCTTTAAAATGCCCGCGCACGTGGCAATGGCGTAGAGCCGCGCCGAGCCGCGCGCCGCGCCGCTGAAACAAACAGTCCACGCCGCTGGACGGCAGCCGCGCCGGCCATTGCGCGGTCGTGTTTTGGCCCGACCGAAAAGATGGCGGACCGTTGTTTTCGACATTGCTCGCGCTCACAGCTCGTCGGCGAGGTACGACGAGGCACAGCACGGCTCTGAAACCGATCTCGCGCGAGAGTTGACATACCGCGTGCGCGATAGTCCCGGCCGCGATAGATCGTCGTTGTGTCAGTGACAGTCGCGCGTGTCGACCGCATCGCGTATACAGCACTCGCCGCATCGTCTCGAGCGTCATTGTCGCTCCGTCGTCGTTAGTGGTAGTGGTGTTGGTGGTGGTCGTCGTCGTCGTCGTCGTCGTCGTTACTCCCGTGCGAGGCGGTATAAATCACACACAGAATCACCCCGGAACCGAGCCGTCCCGACGACGTGTCGTCGGCGCGCCGAGGAGTCAGCACCTGGGACGCCGTCGAGTCCGGGCGCTGAAAATGATCGCGCTCCACCGCGAGTTTTTCTAACCCCCCCTATCCGCTGTTTACGCGCTCCCCGCGAGAGACGCGATTTTGGTTAGGTTGTTTCGGCATCGAGATACCCGCGTCGATCCTGATGACACCGGAACGCCGTAGCGCGTGTTCCCCGCGGTGGCCCACGTTGACAATGTGACGCGCCGTCGGAGTCCCGACGATTTGCTGACGACCGACGATGGATAACGCGCCCGCGATGGCGAGCAACGATTTCGACGCGGAGCATTTCGAGCGGAGGCTCCACGCGCTGAAGGACTCGCAGGAGTCTATCCAGGGCCTGTCCGCGTGGTGCCTCGACAGGAGGCAGCATCACAAGAAGATTGTCACCACATGGCTGCAAGTTTTAAAGAAAGGTAAACGCTGAGAGTCTCGTAGGCTTACCGATAGATTCTCATAGATGTAGAATGTAAGTTTTTATCACAGATAAACTCGCTCGTCCACTATATTAGATTATCCATTTACGAAGAGCATACAATTCCACAAGTATGTTTTCTATTCTTGCACTAGTCTGCACTAGAATTTCCTTTTTCATTTTTACCAAATATCAAATATATTTCACTTTAAGTGCAAAGAGTGTACCTAGTTGTGTACATAGTTCAGGTATAGAAAACAAACACATATCCATTGTCTTAAATGTACAATTTTGAGATACATAACTGCTAGGTGCATAAAATTAATTTTTTGTACAACAGTGAAAGTGGAACATCGGCTTACGTTATTCTATTTGGCGAACGACGTTATTCAATACTCAAAGAGGAAGAATTTCGAGTTTGTGGAGTCATGGGGCACTACTCTGCAACGTGCGACACCCATGGTTCGCGACGAAAAAGTGAAGCATCGTATACTGAGAATCTTCAAGATCTGGGATCAACGGCAAGTTTACGACGAGGAGTTTCTCGCCGATCTGTCCGGCTTAATTTCGGCGGCGCCAAAAAAGAAATTGGAGCCGCCGCCGACCACGCAGCCCGAGGAGTTTCAGGCGGCCTTGCTCATTTCTACCATGAGGTCCTGCGCGACTCTGGAACAGGCTACTGACGCCAGATTGCGTGATCTACGGGAGAGCAACATAGATATTGAATCTGTAGAGGAGTTGCGTGCGTCGCTGAAGGACAGAAGGCGCATGGAAGATGCAGAAAAAGAAATAGATTCGGTCGCTAGGAGCGTCGAGAATTATGTTCGTGCGTTAGAGGCAGAGATTAGAGAAAGGACACAAGTGGTTGAATTGCTGGAGACAGCGGATCAGTTTTACGAGACTCAACGTGGGGAAGTTAAAATAGTGACAAATGTAAGTGCGTCAGATTTTGCGAAACGATTCAATACCGCTTATTTCTCACGTCAAATATTTTTTCATGAATAGGCGTATCGAAATTTTGGAAGTCGTGTCAAAAATTTGAAGAAAAAGTTAGACGAGTTGCTGCCTACATTCATCTCGCCTATACCGTCGCCGGACATAAATGCACCCTCGCCGAGTCCCGACAGTGATATCGAGCTACCAGGAGATGAAACTCAGGCAGTGAATAATCAGTCGGGAATGATCGACGTAGCACCACCGTCTATCTATGGTTCATATCCTCACGAGTATAATCCTATACCTGTACCTGCACCTGACTTGGTACAAGGCAATGAGTCGACGGATTTTACTAATAATTTCCCTTCCTTTATGGGAGGAAATTTAGATTTTGGTAATATGGTAAGATAAAGCAATAATTGCATACGTATCATTTTGTAAAGGAAAATTTTGCATCGTGGACATATCTGACAATACTATATGTATCGTTCCTTTTTTGTTTTCTTTAGAGAAATTTATTTAATGAAACCTCTGAGGCACCTTCCGGGATGTCTCAACAGTACAATGAGTCTTTAGAGGTAATTACTTGTCATGTATTTGTAAGATCCTGTCAGAGTACGTGCTTCATGGGTTCTATGATTTTCAGGCAAAACCAATAGAAGTAATCAATATGAGACCTTCGAAAAATGAAAAGAACAATCCGGACTTCAATATATCTAGTTTCCTGAAAACAGTTCTTCCCTCCTCTGATGGCACGTCAGAATCTGGTGGAATTCCAGGTCTAGGCCTGGATGTTACCGAAAATCGAGTGGAATCGCCACGTCCCAATTATAGACATTCGCCCTCGTTGGGCCCACATCCCGTAACGCCTGTGATCTCAAGAATGATGAATAGTCAGGGTACACCATCCCTCAGTGGAGGTGGTGGCTTAAATAATTGCCAGATGAGTCACAGTACCCCATTGCCGGTTCGCAATATGTCCGATTCTCACACACCCTCTCCGTATTCCAGTCAGAACAGTCAAAGTAATATAACTGGTCCCTTTGACGGGCCCACCAATGCCAATACAGTTAACCCTTTACCTCCCCCACCCTTACCGCCGCCTATCTTCCTCGATGACGAGAATTGTTACAACAAATTGCCGCCGAAATTTCCCACATGGACGCCGCCGAACGAGGGTATTAAAGACTCAGCCAAATGGGAGGAAAAAGGTATAAACAAGTTCTGTAAATTTAATCGAATTTAATTTCAATTTAATTTCTGCGAATTGATTTCTGCTATAGAAAATTTTGCTATATGTTTAGGCAAGAATAGCATGAATCCCACGTGGCCTGGCGAGTGCGATGATAAAAATAAAAATTCGTGGATGGACGGCGATGGAGACAGATGGGACTCCAATAACGATTCCACATGGCCGGTCAGTGGCAGGACAAAGAATGACATGCTGTCTGAGACTCCCGAATCGCCACCTATGTATGAGAAAGCCGGTTTCGCCGAGCCGGTAGAATACAACGAGCCACAACCACAAGAATCTCTAAATACCACAGGAGATGTGGATCATAGGTAATACAGTCTCAAAGACTATCACTGTTCTGTTTTCATTTTTAGAAAATTGATCGATTAATCAATGATATAATTTCCCTGTCATTAAAATCTATGTATTCTCATACTGTTTACAGAGTAATTCCAATGCCAATGACCCGCGAGAATCAGCTTCCATATCGCTTGATAAAAGCAGGTGATGTGGATCATCGTAATCTGATTAGTCTAACTGGCAGTCCGGCAAATCACCACAATCTTGGTGATTCATCGCTGTCTGTTTTACCCAATAACAACAACTTGTGGTCCACCAGTGATCAGGATTATCGGTGAGCCTTATAGTATTTTCCACATGTGTATTTATAGCTAGATATATACATTTTTTATGTAATTTATATTTGTGCTCGTACACATATATATTCAATCTTTATTTGATTTGTATACAATTTAGACGACATATGCAACCTGGTGACATTGTCGAGAGTGTTGATATGGAGATGTCGGACGACGAAGCCGACAGCAAGCCGAAAGGCAGGGTTCTCGTGGATCTCAGGTTGCAGGATCGTGACATGCGTGTTGGTGTACCGCCATCGTCTCATCACGATATGGATATGCGTATGATTCCTCTTCCCATCGGACAAATGCCCGGCCCGCGTGATAGTCAACTCATGCAGGATATGCATTTGATGCATTCGGGACCACCTCCACCGCCGCCGCTGCCGCAGTTTCAGCATCAGGGTCAAGGTGGTTTCCGGCAAGAACAGCCGGAATTTTCCCATTGTAAACAGCCGGTCGATTTTCATCCGAATCAACCGAAGTTTCAGCAAAACAGGCCACCAAACTTCCTGCGGAATCAACAAGATTTTCATTCAAATCAACAAGAATTTCATCAGCTTCATCAGTCGCAGCAGGATTTTGAATATCGCGACAGAGAACACAATATCCGCTCCAAGCAAGATTTCTTGGCGGAATCACCGGGACGCGGAAGATATTCCCAATCGGCGGATCACCAACATCAACATGATTCGTCCTTTCATAGAAACGAGTGGAACAATCGCGGTGGTGGCAATCGTGGATTTCCGAGGAATCGCCGAGATAGATATTCGGAAGACCACAATGTACAAAAGCAGCGGAACAATCTGGCGAACAGTCGCAAGTCGAGATCGCAGGATCAACAACGTCACCAATCACCGTCGGAGATCTTGCCCAATAATCGGTCGATATTGCAACCACCTGACACCGCCGTTATTTTCGACGAGGAGGGTATGCCAATCGGCATACCAGAATTCGATCAGGATAATAATGCGGTATCCAATAATGCTGACGCTCAAGCAGAACCGGAACGCAATTCCGATAACTGTCAGAGCTCTTCGGCACCACATGCACGACGGACTTCGCATGAGATGCCGAGTTCTCACGATTCTGAACGCAACCAACAACAGCATCAACAGAATTATCAGTTGGGCTCTGATCACGAGCAGCGGACATTGCCTTCGGCCGAGTCGGAAGATCAGTCATCATCGATAAATCAAGTGACAGTTATTCCGATAAGAGCGGATAACGTCGGCGATGAATCGCAACAACAGCATGTTCCTATTTCAGAATGCGAGGAGCACGTTGAGTCGACCGAACACTCCAATCTCGCGGAGAAGACAAGCGCGACCGATGAGTCGATTAATCAGGGACAGAATGTGAATTCTACGGAAACGGAGTCGTTGGATGACACATTGAATAAAGATTTAAAGAGAGCGGCGAACGGTGATTGCGATGAGCAAAGTCACGAGGAAGGAAGCCCGAGCAAAAAGAGGCCACTCTTACAGAATGGACCGCCAATGCTGAATGATGACTTGTCTGGCCCGAATGGTCCCGCACCGACGACGGAACCGCATCTTGTGATGTACGAATACGATGGACCAAACTTCCGACCACGCATTGGCGCACCCTTCCCACTCTGGCGAGGTGGACCTCCTCCACCTTCTTCTAGAGGAGGTAGAGGAGGGCCTTTCAGAGGTGGGCCTGTGGGGTTACCGCGAGGCCCATGGATGGACAGAGGACCACGCGGAGGTCCCGTCGTCGGAAACTTCTCGCCGAGAGGATTGAAACGCGGAGGCAAACAGTTTTGGGGCGGCGGTGGTTTCAGAGGCCGGGGACGAAGCAGTAACTGGTAGATAAGGCGACAAACTTTAAAAAGACTCGACGACTCTCCCGTTGTCGTAATCTGACCGGATACATATGCGAAACGCGTTTCCGCGTGTCTCTGTAAATAAACAAACCGACACGCTTCGGTGTTGACACGCGCGTGCGCTCGCGCGTGCGAAAACCTACCCATTCATACATACACATATGCATACATACACACATACATACATACATACACACGCGCACACACGCGCACATATAATGCATATAAAAGTAGATACAAACTCAATTGGTCCTGAACAGTGAAATCTTTAATAATGAAGATTATTCACATCCTGTGCGATTGATTCGCCTATATAAATATATAAATAATAGAAACTATAGATATATATATTATATAAATATAAGCATATTTAGTATATGTTTCGTTAAGATCTTAACGAGTGTTATCGAAGCGGCTTGCGTTCGCATAACTGTATATACATGTGTACACACATATGTGTTATTATCGTGCCCAGTAAATGATTAGGGGCAACGTACGAGGAATCTGGACGCGATACGTCACTCATAGTCGCTACGATAATGACCACAATCGTTGCTACTCCCATAAGACTTTTATGTCAGGAGGGTTTGCGTTTATGTATGCGCTGAGAGAACGATTGTAACGATAAATTCGCCATCTCGCGAATTAGAGCGGCCGCTTTGAGCGAGACCGAGCATTGGAAATCGCGAAAATCACGGTAGTTAATTGACGATAGTTAATTAATGGCATCGATTGGAACCGAGCGTAATTTCGCTGAGTTCAAATTTCCGTGATTTACGAGAATGATTGTTATAAAATGATTATGATTGGCGGAAAATGAGCTCTCTCTTTCATCGAAATTACGGCAGTTTCAAATTTTGGCTAATAACATGTGTTTCTGACCCGATCGCTATGATCGCTATATTCCACGAAACTTCTATTATTTCCCTCCTCGTCCATCTTCAAAATAAGAATGCAATCTTGTTTTCCCCCTGCCTACACCTTCAATCCATTTGACTATATTCGTCGTATTTGGTCAAGAGGTTCATTATAAGAGAAGAGAAAAAGGAAAAAATGGAAAATACACAGGCGTGTTAATGAACATTTTTAAAATGTACTAATAAAATAGTGTTTACGTTCTAGTCGCTTCGTACATTTTCCCTATTGTTATTTCTCGTTTGTATTGTAGTTTGTGTAGGCAATGAATGTTTCTTCTTGATTGTAGATCGTTTTCGTTCGTAAGGGAAGAAATGGCAATAATTAATCAGTAATTCGAAGACTCAATCGAAAGCGTCACATTTAATTCGTTTGTGTTTCGAGAACTATAAAATCACAAAATTGTTTCGTCTTTAATATTCGATTCGAGAGATAGGCTGACGATTATAAGGTGCTCTTGTAAATATTTTTCTGTATTTATGACTGAAAAAAAGAGATTGTAAAGTGAATAAGACTTCAATGTCGGAACGATACGCTTGTTTCATTAGCTATTCGCAAAATTCTTTTATCGTTTTACAATTGCTTGTTCAATTGTCGCCAAATCGTTAATCGCGAATTTCGGATTGTTTAGAAATCCTTTGGAAATGAATTAATTTTAATTTTTATGCTTTTTGAAAATTAATTTTTATTTTTATTATATCGATCAGTAGATTTACTTTTTCTTCGGTTTGCAAACTGTAGTCTGAGTTTACATTGTTTTGTTAAAGGCAAGCGAATCGTTGCGACAAATCGAACTCAGTGTAGCAAGTGCAAAAGAAAAATTTCTCTTCTCTCTCTCTCTCTCTCTCTTTCTCTCTCTTTCTGGTTGTTTAATAAAATAATATCGAGGACCTTTCTCTCTCTCCAGCTCTCAAGTTTGATCAGCGAAACCCCCGTTCTCGACGACACCGTTTTACCGACGCACGCAGGTCATTCGCGACCCGTAAATGTATTATTACGATTATTGCGAGAACGTAAAACGCACGATATACCATCTCGTATATATTTATTAACCCGTCGTATTTCCTTTTTCTTCTTTTTCTTTTCTTTTTTTTTCTCTGCAAATATCGCGATCTCGACACGCACTGCCTTATGCATTCCTCATCTTTTATTTCTTCCGCACACGTGATTGCAAAAGTACGAGGAAGAGATGCGATTTATCGATCCGTTTTGTGGCTCGCCGTCCGTTTCGTTCCTTTTCCGACCCCGTGGTGATGGCGATTAAATTAGATTAGGGCCGTTCATCGGTCGGCGAGCGAAAACGAAGACGATATTGCCTTAGATTACACGGGGGGTGAGAGGAAGGGAGGGATACACGTGGAATATGCGGCCGCAATGCAATTTCATGAACAGGATGGTAATATCCAAAATGGGAAAAATATTTTCGAAGATATTACATCTGTTCTTGCGTAGTATATGTGTCGAGCATGAAACTCCTGACACTTCCGAAAGATGTAGGATATATCGGAAGATATATATTTACGATATAGGCTGTCTCGGAAAGGGTGTGAATTAGTAATAGGATCTTCTCTCCCGCGATATGTGTACATTTCACGATGTTTTTCCTCTTCCTTTTGAAACAATAAAATCACAATTTTTTTGTTTTTTAATTGAAATGACGATTACAAAAGTATTAAAATAAGTAAGGCATTTCTTTTTTCTATTTATTGTGTATTTGTAATTGGCGGAAGTTGTGTAGAGCTGCAATTGATTTGTGAGCATAAATAAGATAATTATTAATTAACAATATATTACAAATAATTAAATAGAGATAACTTCTTGTTATTGACTTAAGTTTGGCAATGTGAGTTAATAAAATTCCTTACAGACGTTAAAATATTAAATTGAAAGTTTGCTGATTATTACAATAAAACGAATATCGAATGAGTAATTTCAATAAACTGCAGGGTATTCCTTAAGTATAAGGTAGTTAATGGTAAAATTTTTTTTTCTTTTATAATTTTATTTTTTCTTTTATATTAACAGAAATCTGTCTTTAATATTAAATGATGAAAAATACTGTTAATGATAAAAGTTACGTTAAAACTTGCTAATCTTTCTAATCTGTTTTTATTTTGCCAAAACAGATAAAGACTTACGTGAGTAATAATTTAAAAGAAAAATTTTAGATAAAGGATCTTTCTCAAATCTCTTTGCAGAGCTATTATTATTACTGACGTACATCACATTTGAGACAGCCTCTGTACATTCATGTACACACAACGCTTTTTCTTTCAGAAGCTACATTTCGCACTTGAAGTTTCGATAATAGAACCTTCCTTCATTATCGAGAACTTTGCAACTGTAAATTTAGTATGAAAATTTTAGCTAGAAGTGCCTTTTTCACTAAAGCAGATCTTCATCTTGTATTTTATGGGGTAAAAGTGTAATACATCTTATTTTCTGATGGGGGGGAAGAGGGGTGTATATAACAAAATTATAAATATTTCTGCAATTTAATTTAATTAGTCGAATATGTGAATGAATAATGAAAGATGAAAGAGAACGAAGAACTGTGTATATGTGTATGAGAGCGCGAGAGAATGGGAGTGTGATAGAGATAGAGGAGAGTGAGAGAGGGTGGGAAGTACAGAATAATCGATCCATAGTTCTATTAATAAACGAGGCACGATTATTCCAGAGAATTATCTTGTACATTAGATTAATGTTCAATTATTTAATTCTACATTAACGTTAATGTTAATATGTTTTATATCAAGATATAAAACAAATGTGTGCATACTGTGTATGCGAAAGGTTTTGTACATTGCCTAATAAAAGATTGATCTTTATTAAGTCCAATTTATTTTTATAATTGCAGAGTATATATATATATATAGGTATATATATATATATATATATATATATATATATATATTTATTTATTGTTTACTGCGTACTAACGTAGGAAAACTTTATGTTAGTGCAATTACTTTATAAAATAAAATTTTTTTATCGATGAAAACTGTTGCGTGATATAATTTATAGATATTTTATGCTTTCGAAACTTATAAAATATATTTATGCAAAGAAAATCGACAAAATTCAAAGTTAGTAATTTTTAAAATTAATAATTTATATTCCAAAAAATATTTTTAGATGAAGAGAATTTGTATTTTGGAGTTTTTTTTGCTTCTCAAAATTTAAGAGCGCTGTGAACGATTAAGAAATGTAATGAACACAGTGATGTATGTGATAAATTATAAATAAAATAAAATGTTATTCTAAATTTATTTAATTTTAAACATATTTTATTTCATTAAATATCAGATAAAATATATTTTTACTAAGGATTAGCAGGGTAAATTGGACATACACAGATGAATAAAAATTACATGAAAAAGATACACAGTAATAAATATTTTATTCAAATCGTTGGACAATCACATTAGTCAATTATTCCTAATATTTAAAAAATATATACAAAAGATATTTACAAATAAACAATTAAACGATCCGTCATTACTGCATTTGATATAAAAATAAATGTGTCGTAACGCGTTTTCTCTTCATAATCTTTGTATTTTACGACACGCAATCGCAGACGTAAAGCAATGAGTCGCAACATTCAGGGAATTACGCAAACGCAAGGAAAAGACAGACGGTGCGTTGTTAGTTTTGTGATGCGCGCTCATGAATTGACAACTAGTGCTCTTGAATCGATTTTCAAACTCATCGCAAATTCTTTCGCTCGCGAAGCGAAAAAGAATATTCTTTTTGCCTCGCAATGCCTTATCACGACGCGTCGTCGTCCATTTGGCCGGTATAGATACGCATTAAAGAGACAGATATTGAATTACATCTCGCTTTTCAATTGTACCATTCTGTTTTCGATTGAACAGATATCAATAAACTAGCACGATTTTCCAATATCACTCTTTTTACATAGCAAAATATAGTCCCAAGAATATCCAGCGGATAATATCCTCGAGGATTTTCAAGACGTTTAGATTGATCTATATAAATTTAATATGTACTTGCGGATAAGATTAATTCAGTCGTTAGACTGATTAACGACTGTACATATGGGATATCCTCGGGATACCCGCGGATGTTCTTAGAATATTTCTTAAATGTATTTAGTATTTTATTGGGATAAACTCTCTTCGCGTCATTTTACACTTTACATTTTAATATTGTATAATACGTTTGAATTTCTGTATGGAGATGTAAGCGTCGGAAATATTGTTTTCAATTAGCTACGTCCTTATGGTTGTTAGACGGTGCGATATTGAATGTCTTAAAGTATTCATCTGGACGTTCTGAGCAAATCGGAATATCTTAAAATCGCGTGCTACGTGGAAATCGAGTCAATCCGATAATAGCAATTAATTACAGTGTATCACGTAAAACGCGGCTTGATGCGGATATCTTTCTTTGTGTTCATTTTCGGACATAATACTCATCGTCGTAATTTTAATTGCGTACAGTATATATACGTATATATATATATGTATATATAGTCTCTTTCATTTTGATTAAAAGTGTTATTCGGCGATAACAATAGGTCCGCGGAAATAATGATGCTGTTATCGCGTTTTCGCATATACAACCTAAATCATTTGAGGTATATCCCCTTACGGCATTTTACTGTCATCTGGTGCCCCGCGTTCTTTGGTCTTTCTCACTTTCTTTGGTTTCTCCGCTTCCGCTCGCTCAAGCATTACAGGGTGTAGCTATAACGTAAGTCGCTTCTTATGTTCCCATAATATCTTCAGCTTTATATCTTTATTTACATTAAAAGTAAATATTAATGTATTATATGATATAGATTATATAAATGATTATATAAATAAGTCTTTTTTCTATGAATATTACGTCAAATTATATGTTAAAAGTTTCACAGTGATTTATCTCGTCAACAATAAAAATAAATACATATTTTTTCTTAAACACAAAATAGTACTCCGTAAATTAAACTCAATTGGCTATGAATAGAGATAAAAAATTCTTCTCACATTTTTAATCTTTAATCGTAATTTGTTCCTGATTTTAGAAATGAGATATTGACAGCGACTGTTCGACTACACCCTGCACGCTTTAATCAGTTTGTCGATCGGAAGAGCTCGATCGCTAAATAAGTTACTTGGAGTTATCGTTCATTGTTCGTCACAAACTAGTACTCTCTTCCCCCGCATCCACTCTTTCCAATCTTCCATTTTCGTCGACTCCTACAAAATACGTCATGACCTCTCCTTTCGGCTTGACGTACGTCTCACCGCGTAGATGACACTTGACACCTTGCTGTTCCAAGACGGTAGCCGTATCCGCTGTCACCTGAGCCAATCAAAATGCATATCGTTTCACTGCCCAAATTTATTAACATTAAACATAGACTTACCTGTATTTTCCCTGGTAGTCCAGTAGTGTCCATTCTGGAAGCCATGTTTACGGCATCACCCCAGATATCGTATAACGGCTTCTGAGCCCCCACAACACCGGCCGTCACCTCCCCGTGAGAAATACCGATTCTTAATCTGAAGAGAAAATTCAAATTTTGTTTCTTTTTTTTATTACCGCTGAACAACATTTTGTTCGTTCAGGCTCCGACTTTCTCGAATTTTATAGCTCTAACGGTACGTTTCGTCAAAGTTTCTTATAATTTCGCCTATCGCTTTTTATCGTGCTTGAAATTACTCACTTGTGAGGTTTCGACGTGGTGAACGACCTCGCGTTCATTCTATCGAGCACGGACATCATTTGTACGGCGAATTGCGCCATCACCTTGACCACATTGTCGCTGCAACTCTCGTCGCTCTCGGTGCTGTGCATCGAATCGCGTCGATGCGCTTCCAATCCGCACGCTGCCATATAAGTTGTTCCTGAATGAAAACGAAAAACGGACGAACTCGAATTGTCACTTAGAATCCAGTTTGCGTCGATGTTAATTTATTCGTTATAAATATTCACGAGATTCTCACCGGCGACCTTTATCTTCTCTATGCGACACATGAAGCAAGGCTCAAAGAGCAGCTTGTCGAATTCACAAATGATTTCGTTCAGATCGCTAAGGATGTTACTTTCGATGATCGACAGCTCCGTCAGAGAGGCGAACATCACGGCGACGTTGTTGTGAGCCTCGTGATAAGGCTCGTTCTCCGCTGTTCGGTTCATGTTCAAATAGAACTCCGCTAAAAGTGGTACAACCAGTCACGCGATCAGTCTCGGACAATAATTATCTCGATTTACTACGAATGTTATTTCTAATCAACGTGTATCAGTTGGAGAGTTATAAAAATTGTTAAAATATTTGCGGGAGTCAACGCACCGACGTGTTCCGGCAAGATGTTACGAAGCAGAAGCTTGTTGGCATTCCTCGTGTGAAACGCCTCGTCCTGTTCCTTCGTTAGCTGACGTTTCCATTGATAATCCAGCCTGCTCAGGTATTCTGCCTAAATGTTCATAAAATCAACTCGTTGACGAGCAACATCGAGAAGATTTCGCGCGAATGCGATTTCGGAGCTTACCTGACGATCGATGAGGTGCAAAGAGAACGTGAGAAACAATATGGTCAATATATGCGCCAGTCTCGGTTCCATCTGAGGATTCCACGTGTCGCTCGACTGAAAGGCATATTATCCCTGTCATTTATTATTAATTACGTAGCTAGATATTTTGAGGCAATGTGTATTTTTTTATCGATTTTGTAACAAGAGAAAAGCTTTATAATAGAGAAACACATATGCAATACCTTAAATATATTATCTCGATGCAGCCAAACGTTCCACGCGTAGAAGCCTACCACGCAGATGCTTATCACGAATTTTAAAGCGTAGTGGACCCTCAGAAAGAGGAAACTCGTGAGAATCGCCAACGAGCAGGTTTCCGTCATTTGCTGGAAAAGAAAAACCAGTGATATGCCGGAACGTCGGAAGGAGGATCGTCGAGATGAGAAATTTCACGTGAATAAGAATCAACACCGTGTACCTACTAAATAATCTTACCCAAGGTGTAGATATGCAGTCAAACTTGGTGAAGCCGACTCCCGATACGCTGGACGTTACATTATCGTCTAATAAATGGTCCACGTTTTCACATTCAAACTAGAAAGGGTTTTAATCTCTTTAATCGCAAATGAAAAAATTTCTATCTTTCGATTAATTTATGACGAATAGACAATTACTTCGAAATGACTGATTTCGTGAATGTATATGAAATAATCGACAAAAAAGGAAAAGAATTAATTTTTTAAGAAAAAAAAACTCTTAATTTAAAAAGAAGTCTTACAATCATATCAAGCATGGCGCATGCTGCTAACATTATCGTAATCACCAGGTACAAGATCGTCCTTAAAAGGGCACTCCATACAACCTACATGGAATTATAATATTAAAGTGAACAGAAAGACGATATAATTAAGTAAATATATTTAATAAGCGTAAACGTGAAATTAAATATAACCGATATATTTATATATATACCTTTACACTTGTTTGATAAAAAAAATACAATAGTTTGTTTCGTGGATGCGGAACGTGTCCTTCGTGCTCGTCATGCGGGTCCTTGCAGCGATTCCACACGAAGTGCATCCACGTGAGAGGTATTAAAGCGATCAGGAACATTAATGTCAACGAGTAACCGACAAACGTGCTCAGATGCCATCTGAAAATTTGATGATACTCGCACGATTAAAACGACGATCTACGATTACCGGATTCTTCCGATATACGTACTGAGAGAGCATAAACGTGGGCACGAGATACATGAATCCCATGAAGACAAGCACGAAGGCAGAGCAGCAGATGTAAAACTTGAAGACCGGGTCCGGTTCGCGCAGGAATGGAATCTCCCAACTCCACTGCCGAAATGTCAGAAAGAGTGGATTTATGTGCTTCCAGTTGCTCCACTGTCTGCATGGAAAAAGCGCAATTTTATAATCTTTATTCTCTCTCCCTCTTTCTCTAATATCCATTAAAATATAATATCTCGTCCAAAATTTAAAAACTTCGAGAAACTTCTGAGAACTCAACAACCGGGTCTTTAGGCATAGAGAAAAGATTCGATGTTAAGATCCTTACTCCCATTTGCTGAGAGGCATCTGATTAATTGCGTTCTCCATCTCGGCGTCCGCCGCCTTCAACATCAGATGATAATCTCGTAGACAAGAATCCATGAAGTGCGTTCTCCGTCTGTAAGTGCTTGCGAAAATGTCCGCCTGATTGTTCATCATCATCCTCGTTCTGGAATTGGTGCTGATAATGGTGTTGGTACGTCCATTGTTGAACTTGACATAGTGCTTGTTAGACGTGGTGTACGACAGTGGCGGCGTGTCCGGACTAATGGCATTCAAACTGTTCTCGCTGTTCTGCAACAAAGTTCTCCTGTCAACGATGACACTCGGCTGGGAATTCGCTCGGCGAGAGCATGGTGTGAGAAATCAGTGGCGCAGGAGCATATCGTTCGTGGCATATTAAATGCTAATGCTTCTGTAAAAGCCACAAAGAAACGCGAATTTGAGGAACTGTGTAATCGTAGATTTGTAAATTAAAAAAAAATCTGTGGGGATACACATATACATATATAAATATATAAGCAAGTGACGGAAGTTGATAAAAATCGCTTGAGTTGAGCCCCTAATCATCAAAATATCGTAGCTCATTTAAGTTGATTTGAAATGGCATATTAGATACGAATTTGTGTTTTTCCCACGCCACTGGGAGACACGCACCGCGACGGCATCGGCGTTTCCGGCAAAGACGGCGTGATGAGGTAGCTGCGTATTCCGTATTTTCGTAGGACCTCGTCGTCCAACCTTTCGACCGGCATGTAGTTGTAGTCGCTCGCGTTCACGAGATCCAGCGTTTGCTGAGTCACGTGGACCTTACCGGGCTTCCCGGTCTGCTCCATTTTGTTCGCTATCACCACGTCGCGCGACCAAACGTCGTATTGCCACTTGTTCGTGCCCAGGATTCCGGATATTATGTTGCCCGAGTGCACGCCGATCCTCATGTTCACGTCCACCCCGCTCTCGCGATAGACTCGCGCCCTCACCTCGTTGATAATTTTTATCATATCGAGACCTACGTACCATTTTACAGTAATTTTAATCGGGAAAAAGATCTGGGAATGTTTTCTTATAATTAAAACATCAATCATCAAATATTACGATAATTATTCAAACAAAAAAGGGACATAGGAATTTTTAAGCTTTCTATAGAATAAATCTTCTGTAATAAATGAATGTTCGCAGATATTTCTGAATTAATAATTAATACGTTAAAATAATGTTGCGCGATATGTTGTGCAACATAGATTTTTTTAATTAATGGATTCGCAATGCATAAATAAACACCGCCATTTTACCGAGATCGACGCAGCTCTTGGCGTGTTGGGAATTTGGAGTAGGCACGCCGCTCACGCAGTAGTAACAGTCGCCTAAAAATTTGATTCTCAGTACATTGTGCCTCTCGGACGCCTCGTCAAAGCTGCCGAATAGATCATTCAACGTCTCCACGAGTTTTCGTATCGGTAGTGTTACAGTCAGTCCGGAAAAGTTCACTACGTCCGCGTACAGGATGCTCACATTATCGTGCGTCTCCACGCATAAATCGCTAAAAGGGAACAATTGGAGTATAATAATCAAAACATGGAACGGGATAACATTGTATTTGCCATGGTCGTACCTGTACGGCCTGCCTTTCGGCGGAGGACTCTTTTTGTGCTCCTCTATAAATTTGAAAATATCCCGGAAGTCCTTTTTGATTTTCGCCACTATGTGTTGCGGCAGTATACTCCGCGTCAATTGCTCCTACAAATGTTGATTATTTCCAGCTTCAGATATGTCAGTTTAAATTTCCACAATTTTACATTCTCACAAACTTTGATTCTTGAACCTTTCATTGTTAGATTAGTTCTATGATTACTTTCGTCGACTCTTTGCAATTCTCAATTTTGCGTTTATACTCTTGTATTCTTCGTGGAAGTAGAATGGTCTAGGGAGTTGAAGCGCAAAGGACAAGAGGAACTCAATGTGTGTGTTTATCGCGGCCACGTGTTACGTGTCCAGCATCGCGAATTTGTTTCTTACATTCCCCGTAACGGAATGCCACTCATTTGCTATTAAAAGCTTGAATTACTTGAAAGGAAAAAAGAAGGGAGTAGAACAAAGGAAGTAGAAGACAATAGAATGAAGATCTAGAGCCTCAATTAATAACGCTTTCCATTAATAAAGCTTATCTCGAAATTATCCAATACTCCATTTTTAATCTAACAAACGTGACGAACGTGTTGCAAAAATCTAATTACGCGTCCATTTAAACCTACTTCTTGATCCTTCTCATAGTTGAGCCTGAGCGTGGACTCGACGCATTTCCGACGGTCCAGGAAGGAGCGCCTGATGACGACCTCGTTCATGAACCTGAAGTAGAGTCCCAGAGCGTTCACGCACACGAAGTATATCGCATCGCTGACGATCTGCGATTGGGGAGGGGGAGGGGGGCAAAAGAAAGAAAAGCATTCCATTCTTAGCTGCATGGTTTACTCGAGTAATCGCGCGACGGCTTGCGTCAGCGCGCGATTACACCGCACATTGTCGGCGGTAAGGGTTTACCTTGGTAACGTAATCGGACGTGTTGCTGTAGGTGATTATTGACAGGGTCGCCAGATAGCACATGCTGGCCGTAAGGCCGAGCACGAGAGCGTGCGAATTCTTTGTGATCGGCAGGAACACGTAGCATGCGAGAAGCGAGTGCGTCGCGTACGCCGGTCTGAAAAAAAGACATGAACATTGCTGAAGGAGCGCGTGTTCGTAGCATGCACGTGGTGCACTGGAGTGAATTCGCGGATGCGTGTTTATTGATGAAAATTGAAAGAGCTAAAAACGCAATCGCGTATAATAAACCCGTTGCACACCCGGATCTCGAGTTTAACGAGAAAAAAAAATGCGACCGGCCGGCGCGTACACGCAAAACGATCACTCGAGAATATAAAAAATGCGCGCCCGTATGTGTGCACCAAGGATCTTTTCGATTGTTGTACTGATTATTCTGCTAGGAAGGTCTTTCACGTCATTAGGCTAAAGCCGAACTGTTAGATCAATTCTTTTTAGAAATCGTTTCATGAAGACATTTTCCTCATTTTCCAAATATATACATAATATAATTCAAAATGTCTGATTGTACCTACATAAAATTATATTGTTATAAATTAATTAATGTACAATTGTGGTTAGTTTTCTAATATTTTAATCTGTATCATAATCGCGTAGTCGTAGCGCAGCGCTCGTGTATAAAAAATATTCTTGTTCCTAAATTGATAATTACTATCGTTTCGCGCCATATGCTCGATGGAGATAATCACAATATCAATGAGTTGTAATATCAGTCGCTATACTGACAATTGTTGCGTGTACGAGGACAAAAGCACGCGTCTTTATCAGTAATAAATATTTACGCGATTCGCGCCACTCGCAGTTATCGCAGAATAATTTCGATAAACGCGCGCTAAATAAGCGGCCGCCGCAAGGAAGTCTTTACGACTGATACTAAAATAGTGATGATAATCGGATGCAACGCACGATTATTTCGGGCGCGGGTGGAGTTATCGGTACCTTATCGGTGGGATACCCTCGGTGTAAATGGAGACGTAAAACAGAGGTATGGTCAGATCGCAAGCGACCAAGAGCACGATGATCATCCAGGACAGCATGACCGGCAAATAGGTGTTTTTGGCGATGTGCCTCGATCGGAACGATAGGGCGATCACTGGACACAGCAGAGCGCCCACGATGCAATAGACTACGATGTCCACCAAGCATTCCTTCATGCCGACCTGGATAAATCAAAAAGGAAAGACCAGCTTATATTCCTTAACGTCACTTACAGATTTTTTAAACTTGCATTATTCAAACACTGTAAGCGACTTATTAATTGTGGAATTATTGCAGTATAATCTGAATGATTTTCTAGTCTCTAAGTATCTTATAACAATAAGTTTCCAAGATCAAACGATTAAAACATAATTTTTTCTTTATAATAGGATAGATGAAAATTCAGTTTGAAAAAATTCAGATTGAATTCATCTTTTTAATAGCTTTAAAATATATTTAAAAAATAAAAATGTCTAAATAAAACATACTCTTTTCTCTCTCTTTCTGCAAATATTTTAAATAAATAATAAACTTACCGTTAAGATCAGGCACAAGCAATACGTAAATCCAAGTAGCAGTTGTAGCAAGATGAATATCGAGAGGTAACCATATTGTATTCTTCTGTGATAGATCGTGTACAGCTTTTCTAGGTTCTTGTATTTGAATTGTTTCTGAAAGTGAAAGCTTGCGTGAGGTCGTAATCGATTTGCTGAATCAGCGAACTGTTACAGATATTCGAAGCACGGAAAGGAATTATGTGGTATTACAATAATATTATACGATAAAATAATTCAGTTATCAATATTGTTATAAATATTTAGCGATTCGACAAGGAGATAAAGAAATATAAAGATCATATTAAAAAAAAAAATGTTAACGAAATTTAATCTGAACGTTCGTCATAAATTCTTTAGTTTTTAATTTTATACAATTCTCTAATTTTTAGTTATCAATATTAGTTGTACAAGTATATAACAATAATTAAATGCAAAAGTAACAAAATAAAAGAGCATGTACATTCAATTATGATTGAACAAATAATATCTTATTACTTTCTTTCGGAAGTAGATTTATTGATTATCCGAAGCATGCACACATATATCATTATTGTTTTGTAGAAAATATCAGTTAATATAGATTAAAGATGATATATCGCTAGCTGTATGAGAAACACACGTAATTCAACATCGCAATTCATCTCAGCATTCAACGGGACGAGGGAATATATGTACAAAAATCACTTTTCGTTCCGTCAATAGCCCTTCGTTATTCATTTGCTATGTATTTTTCATACGAAACGATTATGTCCATGTTCACTTTAGCAAATGGTTGTATACATCAGAGCAAAGATGTCCTTTTATATTGAAGCAAAAATCTCCTTTTTACATTAAAATGTTGCTTTAATCGATGTACAGATACATCTTTAGGTATACAAATGACACCATCGTTGACATCATCATCGCATTTTATTCTTCGAGGAGTGTCTGTAAATTTTCGAATAAAATACCTGTAAGTAATCACGCGATTAGAGGATAATCCTTCACCTCAAGAGCCTCCCATTTCTATTTCCCAATATCCATAACGCGTTCAAACGCGTTCAAACGTGGGATTGATAATTTCCAGTTCGCCATTTGCAAAAATGAAGAAGTTAGAAGACACGAATTTAACGATCAAAGGATGAATTAGCTAATCGATAAATTAGGTCAGCGAACTGATAACTCCACATTCTTAATCACTTTCATTCTTAGCTCTCCTGTCACAAGGCGACACGCACTATAAGTCGTCGCTCGAAGATTGCGACGTCCGGTTCTTATGAACTTTTCCTCGCGAGGAACTCGCAGATCGGGGCTGCGCTTCCGCCAGTACGTCCGCTCGCACGACGGTCATACGGTGATCTGCTAGTCGCGTGCGTGTAGCGCGTGGCGCGCGCAAATTACATAGCTAAGCTCGTAAAACGATAAAGCTGCATCCGATTGTCATCCGGCGCAGTCGCGCGGTCCCGACTGCTCCAGCATGCACCGTGGAATGCACCGCAGGCTCCCGCTGGAATTGCGCGCCTTCGAGCTGCTGGCATGTCGAAATTACGGCCAGGATTAAATCCCTATTGATGCACCCGCGCGAGTATCAAAAATACAACGCGCTCACTCACAGGTTCGCTCGATCTCTCCTTCATCTAGCTTGACCCACATTAAATATAATTTTAATGATTAAAAAAGGTTAAGCGCATACCTATATCTGCACGATTCTATATCGATCATATGTATATTCGACGATTCCAAATTTTTGCATTGAGAGCCCACTCAGATCATTCCATTTTGTAATAAATTTCTGATTTTTTTGTAACAAAAATTGAGTGAAGAAATTAGGGCTAAATGGCAATATCGAATTTCGAGTGCCGAGAGAAAATCGAGTTAATCGCATATTCTTCTGACAATGAGAGACAAAATTCTCGAAGAATTTCTTATATCCTCGTGATATCTTGCGAGGAATGCGAAAAATAAATAACGCGAGCGAGATTATATCACCCACGAGCATGCGGGATTTATTGCGAAGGCATCTGTGCGTGCACGTCCTAAAAAAAGATTCCTCCCCGATAATTTTCACCATTCACCCGAGATTTCATCATTGCGATCATCGACTGCAAATAGAATTATATATTATCGCCCCGGCGCGGCCGACGATATTCAGATAACGCGCGACGTGTACTATCGGCAGGCAGGGGGTCCACAAGGCGGAACATCTGCTTTCACTTGACGATACTCACGTGGTCTGAGATTTGCGTCGCGTAGCCGACGTGTAGCCGACCCTTTCCCACGCGCGATGCACGACCACGCCCGCCGAAAAATCGCGCCCGTCTAAAATGCAACGGTTAGCTAAGGTGCGCTTGAAGGCACCTCCACTTGCAGCAGCAGCAGCAGCAGCAGCAGCAACCGGGGGAAACGTGCTTCCGTGCTTTCGTCTCGCGCGTGCGTTTTGTCAGCACGTTGCCGCTCGCAGCTTGGCGAATCTCTTTCTCTCTCTCTCTCCCTTTCGTCTCGCTGAATATTGATCTTCAATCCCGAATTCGCGCAGCAGGTCTCCTTTACGCCTTCTCCTTCTCTTCCCTTTTTGTCTTTCATCCTCATTGTCCCTTAATTCTCGTTCTTTTCATTTTTCACCCCTTTTGAATCAAAGTTATTCTTGAATGATTGCCATTAGATAATAATATTAAATAAAATTACGTGAGAATGAAAACTTTGCATAGACTGCACTTAAATTTTCATACTACACATTTTTGAAAGGTTTTTAAAATTGCAGTCTCGTTGGAATCTCATAATTCCACGTCTCTGGAAATTGTTCCTATATTGCTGAGAGATTCCGCGATGTATTGAAATGGAGATATCTCGGTTATCGAAATTCCTCAAGCAAGCAAATCTTCGATGAGACTATCGGTTAGCAAACGCATTCGAATATCGAGAGGATTAATGGCGATTTAATCGATATTCTCGTAATCCTCTGAACGTTGATTTATTTTCGTACGACTGTCAAACTGAAATAAATCGGATCGAAAAAATAATTTCTATTAACGAAATTTTCCTGTTTGGCGTTCCTAGAAAAATTCATATATGCCATTCGAAATGAATAAAGAATAATAAGTGGAGTAACAGGAAACTGTCGTAGAGGAAACTTTATCCAAGAATGGAATCTCCTCGAGAATTAATCATTATCGATTTTTTATGACATTTCCTTCATGAACCGCTTAATTAACTGCGGTAATTAATTTGTAGTCACGCAGACCGCGCGAAGGAATGATCGCACTTTTTCGTGCGAGACCAGGGAAAAAAGCGATTTTTTTCCGGGTTTGCGTGGCTCCTTCTAGAACTTTGTGAACTCGAGCGACGCGGCGTAATACATCCTTCGGCCATTCAGATAAATCGATCGCCATTCGATAAACAGCACCTTCGAAGAACACGCTCTTTCTCTCTCGCTCCGCTTGGCGAGTCATTCCTTTCTGATAATGAATCCCACGTTAAAAAAATTCCTGCACAATCTTGTTTTCTAGGCAACATCGTCTCAGAGCGTTATCAATACGGGGACGTTCCGAATCGCTGGCGAAATTTCCTTGGTTGAAACTATCCTCACAATTGCTGCGATTACACTTTATTAACGCAAATTCTTTATTACTAAATTTTTTTCTACGTGCTCTAGCGAATAATGAACTTTGATATAAGACAGAGTTTTTAATTCAAGATCAAGATTTACAATTCCTTTATATTTACACACTTCAGAAAGTTTTACGATATTTCTTTTGTAATCTTTGGAATAAATGAATGTATCAAGGATACTTTTGAGGTTTCAAGAATCTGAATATTAAAATAGTCGTTTATTTAATTCGAGATTTTTAAGTGTAAAGTGCAAAGCTCAATAAGTTAAAGAACCCAAGATTTGAAGAACTCTCACTGTCAGATTATTTTTTATCCCAGAATTTGAATTTAAAAGTCCAAGAAAGAAAAATATAATAAAAACCTTTAATATCAAAAATTATTACGTTTATATTGTAATACATAGATAAAATGAAAGATAAGCCCGTTAATAATTTTCCAGTCATAAGCTCACTTTTATAATACAAATAAAAATGCACGTTTATCTTGTAAATTATATTAATAAAGAAACAAATATATAACAAAGTAAAAATAAAAGATAGCTGTCGAAATTCTTCAACTTGGATTAAGCGATACGACGCCGTATAGTTTACCTGGTGTGATATACCAAAAATAAGCTCTTGCTAAAGTACGATTGAGGCTTTTCAAATAACATTTGCCGATAAAGACCGATAGTTCGACTAACGTAATTAATCGATCACTTACCCTCAGACCAGACCACGTCCATTCCTCAAAGCTGTTGGGAGAGATGATGCGGCCGTCGTCCTCCTTCTGCAGCGAACTCAACGACGCTCGAGTCACCAGCTCCATTCTACTGACCCCGTTGTTGGTCGGTGTTGGATCATCCATGTCGATGGTAGTCACAGCAAGACGACGGCGGCGGTGACAGCGAGCTTGCGATTGTTGTACTCATGACGATGACAGATCCGCGACTGGAGAACGATCGTAACGAATCGCAATTGAAAAGTGAATCACCCCGAGCGTCGGCTTCCGTGATGATCGTGCCAAGCCAAGCCCAGGCTTTATCGTGATAAGAGAAATGGGCCACTCGAAACGCTCCCCCTGCGACTTCCCTACTTTGTCTCTCTCTCTCGCTTTCTCTCTTTCTCTCTTGTTCCGACCAACTATAATGCACGCTTCTGATTTTTTATGCTTGCGAAACTCTGCCTGGTACACAGCATAACATCGATCGTTCGGGTGATAAAGTGACCCTACGGGAAAGATCGAGAAGCGTTCTCGTTGTCACGAAAGCCTCGTTTCTTGAGGTAGGCAAAATGAAATGTTTATATATTTTTGGACGAAAACAACATCTTTCTCAGGAACGTAGATCTCGGAGGAAGACTCTAACTATAATAACACAAATGCCTCGATAGTAACGTAATTACAGAAACATCCATATAGCCCGCTGGTATTCCAGAGAGATTTCGCGTTTCTGCAGGCTGCAGGCGTTGTCATAAAATTCACTTCGCGTCCAGGAGTATACCGATATATTTTATACACGCACTTCAATTATCTCTTTTCAAACGAAATAAATAATTAACGATCCGCGGCCACACTTTTGAAAGCTTATCCCATTTATCGGCAATTAAATAATAATCAAGCAAAATATATTCGAGCGACCTCGAGAATAGCTTTCAAGTTCCTTTCGTCTGTCGAACGTAGCGTTTTCAAGGTCAGGTAATCGATCGTACGAAAATTGGGTTCACCCCTGCCTGAGAAGGAAACTCTTAAATTTATATTTGGTGTCACAAGTGTCGCCCCGGGAACGTAATCATCGATCGTTGGGGAAAAGGCACGGCCAAGTCTTGGAAAAAAATGCACGTTTAAAGCATTCATTATAAAGATAAAATTGAGAGCGACTACATTTTTGTTGTGACAATTAAAAACTCACGGAAATGAATGGATATCTTTATATATTAGGACTCAACACACTTTATTCTGCCGTGTAAAATATCCGCAGACGGCTCTAGCTTCATTAACTATTAATGAGAACGCCCTGGTAGGATAAAATTTAAATAAATTTAAATTTTTTCGTTGAAGCAGCATTTTAGCTTGCACGTTCTTTCTCCAGCAATCGCCACAATTGAGTTATCGAGCGGGTCGCGGAGGAACGGCTCTATATAAGCGGCTCTCCTGCGTCTATTTTTGCATTCCTCGTCTCCTTTGCTCGTCTTTATGAAAGCCCACCGCGAGATAGCTGAAATTAGGTAGGTATTTTTACCAGTTGATAACACTCAGTTTTTGCTGGATTACGAGACTGTAATCTTTATCCTGCCGACGATATCAAATATTAAAATCACATGCAATGTTTGGAATCTTTTACACATAACGATATTTGTTAAATTATTCTCCTTTGCTATTACAATAATTTCTTTAACACAATTATTTTTTAATAACATTCCCTAATCAAGGAATATTTAAATTTAACGAAGATTTCAAACTAAGATATTTGCCGTTTCATTACGTGAATTAAAGATTGGTCGAGTTACATGATTTCGTTACGATAATGCGATATAATAACACTCTACAAACCGTGGCCTGACACAGAAAGTGAAATCTACGAAGAAAATATGTATTTTCATTGTACAGTTATGCCACTGCGGTTGGTCACCGCGAACGTTTTCAATGTCCCCGGCACTTTCTCCGACGCGCATTCACGCTCGATGCATCATTTACCTGATTTACCATCTCGCGTTGCAACGCAAAGCGTGTCCTCAACAACGATCGCAGTGAGTCACTTCTCACAGTGGAAAACTCTTTACGATCGTCTAGACTTATACCGTGATCGCCGAGATCGGCTGCTACGACAATAGCAACAGAGCGATGATGACAGATATTAATGCACCTTTCGGATTTAATTTTGATAGCCTCTGCCGGATAGAGATGATCGCGGACAGCGGCTGACTTTGATGAGCCGCAATTGAAATCGCCAAGTAGAAATAACAATGAAGAACTGAACGGGTTGCGGGTAATGAGATTTGATTTCGCGTGACGGTGCGCGTGTGCACTTTTTGGCGATCGGACGTAAGCTTCGAAGGTAACTTTCCAAGCACTGCTAATTGCATCCTGCCGTTCCGGATCGCCCGACCAAATCGAGCGGTCTAAACGGTCAGTAATGTCTGTTCGCCGAAAGGACGCTGTCTTAATCGAACGGGCCTCTTTAATGGCTCGTCTCGATGGAATAGATCGAATGAATTATTAATTATCAGTCGATTATCGCGACGGATGATTCAACCGAGAGGAATCCCGAGCTAATACATGTCGATCGCCGCGCGTCTGCAGGCGTCTGATTTTGATTTATTTCGAGCGATCATCAAAGGCTTACCGAATTAATGATCGGGCATACTCGTCCGTATTTAGGACGAAGATTAATGCGCGATAAAGCGTCAGAAATGCGTATTAAAACTTGAATATGACTGACTTGACTGCTTGCAATTACTTTTACGGAGATGCAAATAAAACTGAAAGTGCTTTTCATCTAATATAACATTATAAATAAGAATTAATTAACATATCAAACGAATTAAGGAAAGCAGTATGTAAGTCAAAGCAATTCTGTTAGCGAAACAAAATGAATCGAGATAGCCGAATGAAACATCATGATTAAAAAGTCATGAAAAATAACGATTAATTCTCTTCGATACTTTCATTAAGGAAATATTAATTTCACATTCGTCCGAGAACTCGTTTAAATTAAAATTCGCGGACGAAATGTTCCGTATATTTCAAAACGGCGGTGGCAATTAATTCTTAATGTTGTTATAAATAATATAAATCAATATTAAAAGTAAATGAATTGTCATTTGCCGAGACTGCAGTTTTGCTTCTCTCTCGATACCCACCTGATCGTCTACTCCCGGATGAAAGGTCAGCCGGCTTTCGCGGTGGATCGCGGCGCGGATATGCGATTTATGCACGTTTCTCTTTCTTATTATTTATTTTTCTTTTCACACAGACGTTATCCTTTTTAATGCGCGTTACGGAAGCATGCGCGAGACCCGTCGACGTTTCCCCGCGAGAAATAAGAGACTCGAGACCGCTTTCCACCACGGCCGATATCGCCGCGACGCACGGCAGCGGGCTCGGCAGGTGTGACGACGAAGCGCGACATGGGTCGTATACCCGCGGCTTCTTTTCGATTCGAGTCATGGTGGAGGCCCTCAAGGCCTATCCCGCGCCGACATCGCACATCGCACGCCTCGGCACGCACGCACGCACGCATGCATATTGCGCTTTCCGTCGAGAGCCCTGCACTCCGAAGACTCTCGGCTCTCAATGGCACTTTTTACGACTTCCGCCGCGCCGTCTCGATCGGGAAGATCGATTCGCCGGTCGAATCGCAAAAATCCACCTGCGATCGTCAATCGGCGCAATATTGTATAGCAATCGCGAGATCCTTGAGAACGTAAATTTATTTCGAGCCGTAATTTTAATATGCAGAATTCAATTAGATCATTTTTATTTTTTTTAATCTGAAAAATATAATGAGATACAATTAAATTAAATGTTCATCAATTCTAAAATCGAAAGATCGTGTTTCGCTAGTTTACAGAAAGATTAGGGTACAGCGGGGTAATTTGAATAGTGAGGTAATTTGGATAACAGTAAGCATTTGCAAGAATTTTAGAAAAATAAGAGATTTTAAGGTACATTTTATTATATCAGATATTTATATAATAAAATGTATCTTAAAATCTCTTATTTTTCTGAAATTCTTTCAAATGCTTACTGTTATCCAAATTACCCTGCTGTACCCTATCACTAAAATAATTTCATTTTATATCACTTTATGTCAGAATTACATTAATCAATTTTATAATTCAGATCGCGCAAATGTTAGAGAAATATAAAGATAAAATAGCATTTCTACAAACTGAAGATATCAAGATCTTTTACTAAAAAGATTGGATATAACAATAAAAATATACGTGGCAACATATATCTGTTAAATAATATGGACATTCAAAGAAGCGATTCCCTAATCATTTTGCGTTATTATAAACAAAAGCAGAGGTGCTTGCCAAAAATTCTTTTGCTTCAGAAATGGGAAAGACATAAATTCAGCCGTTAATTCATTTTCTCTCGTAAATAAAAGATCGATTGATATATCTCGAGACAATGCAAATTCATCGTGCGGCGAGTAATACGACGTTTATTATGACGATTGTGATAGTGACAATTAAGTTTGTCGCTAAATGTTACCTGATGTTTTTACACGCCTGATGTCAATTTTCACAGCCGTGCGATTTTTCAAAAAGAAGTTACGCTGACCTCGATTATCTGGTGTTAACTGGAGAAGCCTGACAGCGTCATCGTGAGTTTCGCATCGAGTGTTGTATGCCGGTGACAATAATTAACGATCGAATCGAGGCTTCAGACATGGTGAAGGAGGTGCTCTCTATGTTCAACATCACGAAAAGTTTGCTGTGCGAAACACACTTTATAATATTATTTAAAATAAAATCTGTTCTCGGATTCTTCTTGTTCCAGGCAAAAATCTCACAAGCTGTGTACGTGCACATCTATATAAATATCCAATATGATTCTTGTAAACGACCACATTGAAAAAAACTGTAATTAATTGAAAATTTTTAAAGTGTATTGGCCTGTGTAAATTATGCTTTGAACAAAATTGAAAACTATCTTCCTTTTTTAAAAAAATTAAAAAATATGGTATCTTAAATCTTTAAAAATTAAAAGTATTTAAAACTCGGTTTAAAACGTCCGAAATTGTTATTATGTGAATTAATGATCATTTCGCTTGATAAATTTCGAATATTCGTGTAAAAATACACACACACACATACACACTTTTTTTTAGGGTATCCTGCACTTTTGAATCGGCGATGCACGCTCCTGGCAGTACATTTATTCGAGTGAATGACTCGATCGGCCAGGGCTTATTCAATTAAAGTTAATTAAACACATTTGTCACATTTGTCGCGATATCGGCATTCCGTACGGTCTTATCGGACGCGAAAAGCACGAGGGATCTCAACAGCGGTCGCCCTATCGCGTTTGAAGTCGTCTACAAAAGAATGACTCGCTTACCGCTGTAGTGATCCGATCAATCACGTTCGCTGGACGCCACGCACGCGATGCGAGAGAAGAGAGAAAAAGAGAAAGAAAGAAAAAAAAGGAGAAGCAGTGTGCGGCGCGTAAACTCGCGTAGACTCTTGGCCGTTTTTGTTAGCGGCTTAACAGTAAGCCGCGACGGAATTCTCGCGGCGGATCGCAAAAAAGCGCGAACCGTGTCGTTCGTCTCCGCGCGAACACGTTGCTCGGAGCGGCCGCGGCCGAGGTACGTTTGACGGCGGATCTTTGAAAGGTCGATCGTTGCTCGCAGTTATCTCCGCTGTCTTTCGATAAAATTACGATATTATCGCGTCCGATATCAGTTGAGTCGCCGCACAGGAATTCCGGTGCCCATTAGAAATTTTACTCCTCGTCTCCCTCGCGTGCTGAATTCGCCGATTGTGCCTACTAAAACGAGCTAATTTCATAAAATTATATCAATAACATGTCAGTTGTTACACAGCTTATCGCTATGCTCAAATAACATTATCCATATATAAACAGCAATCGTGATATTTTCGAACGAAACATATAAATTCTACAAGAATTAGAACAAATTCGAAATGGAAGAAGTAAAAAAAATTGAAAAAATCGCGAGAAAGATTTATAAAAAAAAAGGATGTACGACACTTTTATTAGTCACATAATACATTTATTTTCAATATTTGTACGCTAGGCTGTACGTTTTTGATTGCAGACATAAAGAAAGAAGACGGGCTAATTTCTGCTCGTCGGTAACAGTGACGTCGACGCCTATGCTAGAGGCAGAATTTCGCTCATTAAAGCGAGCTTGTATGTCCGCTTCTGCATGTCAACCAGATCTTTTATCTACACGCTCATTGGACGAATTGAAGACTTTATAAATCTACATAGATTCAATTACAATTCCGTGAGCAAGTCTAAAAAAAAAAATCTATACGACGCGAGAGGAAATCGCGAGATTCCCTAAATAATTCCATAATTCAGATATTCTAGATTCCTCTCTCCCTAGACTTTTCTCTCCTTTCTCGTTTTACTATACAACGTTCACGGGGTATCTATTCATAGCAGAAGAGTAAAGGAAGAATTGTGTCTTGATGCGTGTGTCATAAAGACAACAAACTGCGCGTTTAATTGTAAGATAATATAAATTATTCGCTTATTAAAGGAAAGTCACAAATGGGCATTCTGTAAAGCTATATCGTAATGAAAGACGGCGAATAAACAAAAAATAAAAAAAACCGATGAGTATTCATCTATAAAGCTGAAATGTAGGTATATTTAATCAACTGCAATTATTCTCGCCTCGTATCTCATTTGCTCAACGTTACTCCTCAATAGGATTCTAATTGCGAAAAAGAAAATTAACTTTAAAATACGTACTTGAACAAAAGTCGTTCCCACCGATCAACATGCGAATCAATAAACATTTTGGATGTTCAAAAAACGATTAAAAATGTCATGCATGACTAATCATTTACATTAAGAAAATATACGTTGAATGTTCGCGACAACTTCCGGAGGCAGCTCGGTGAAAAGTGTATTCCAATCGTTCACAAAATCTCGCTGAGCAGACTTGATAAATTCCATAACCAGATTTTGCGTTTCTGTAAAAAAGAAAAAATATATTTACATATAAATCAGAGAAGAGATAACATCGATTTACCGATATAATTTTATCAATATTATAAATTAAAAGTCGGAAAGACATTTCATGCTAAATGAAAAATAACAAATGCTATTTTTTAAACAAACTTATATTAAAATACTTTACATGCATTATTTTCATGTTACTTTTCGTGAAATTTAGATACGCGGGTAAGTTAAAAGAAACAAAAAAGCATTATTTTAAGCTTTGAAAGGAAAGGCCCTTAAAATGCTTGTCATTAATTAAATACTCACCAGCATCGACAGTCTTTTCTTCATGTAGTATGATAACTGCGACTTTCAACAATGTATGAATGTAAGACTGTAGGAGAGTGACTCCGGCTTGATATAACGTAAGAATACTTTTAAATACGGCTTTATGCTCCTGAAAGTCTGCCTTCAAAGGTAACTGTTCAACAAAAACTGGAAATACTTGTTCAAGTGGCAAATTCGAATAATTCGTGATAATAAGCCGTGCAATCGCCCCAACCACGTTATCACGTGTAGCTGCATCCGTCTCTTTTGCAATGGCACACGATAAAGTATGGAGAATATTAGGATAATGTCTGTGGAATACTTGTTAAGGAATATATATTAAAAATTTTATCTGATTGTAATTATTTTTGTGAAAATCTACCATATAACTATAAAAAATTTACAATTGCATTTCTAAAATGGAATTATGTAGAATAGTTTTCGTATAGTACTTATTTTTGAAATTTTCAATTATAAAAAAAAATAATTTTAAAAAAATTGGAGACATTTTTCCGATATTTGATTTCCAAATGTCTTCTAATACTGAATTTTTAATACTCAATATAACATATTATTGAATAGCGAATAATTGGAATAAATAATGGTGAATACATTTGATTATTATAAGATGACAAAAGGATACGGATAAACAGCTTCTTTTCCGTAGAAAGCAAGTTCTCCGATTCCGAAGAAGCAATTGCTACGAACTTCGCTGCAGGGGTCCTGGGCCCCAGTTTGCAGAAAAGTAGGAAGCAGTTGCTGGACAAACGCAGCCGTCATGTGTCTAAGTCCGGGCAAGCATTCAGCTATCGTACCGATAGCGAAGGATCTTTGCCCTTCCGAATTATCCATTTTCTGTAAGCATTTGAAGCTAAGCTAGAATTAAAATCGCGAATTTTCCGAGAAATGCAAGTACAAAATCGGCAGTACCAGTCTTTTTAGAAAGAAAGGCAACATGGTTTGAAAGTAGAGTGCAAAGTCCTCTGCTGAGAGCACTCTTCCCAAACTGGAAAACACAGTCCCCGCGCATTCTATCAGTAGCTCGTCTTGTTCGGCTTCGGTGTCAATGCCTTCGACCTCTTCCTGATCCTGACACGCTGTTTTGTCTACGACAAAATTTATAATTCCGAATTACGCGATACTGATTTATTAAAATAACCGAACGTAAATAAGATACGCAACGCAAATACCTTTCATCACGTCCATCACACAATTTATTATGGCTTCTTTGTGACCCACACCGACGATAACATCCGATTTGACTTCTCTTAAAAGTTCCTGATACGCCTCCAAACCGCAAATGGCAACTGTCGGCTCTTCGTCTAATCTTATCAGTTCCGACAATTTCGGGATAAACATGGAGAGGGCCTTCAGCAGTGCCTTTTTACCTTCGTCGGTATTGATTTTCGATAAATTAATGCAGAACTGTAATAGAGCCTCTATACTCGCTTTCCGTATATCTTCTTGAGGATAATTGATCAATTTAAAAATCTCTTCGAAGGATCTTTCGAGGTATGGCATAAACGCTTCTCTGTAACAATATTTTTATTACATAAACATAATTAATTCAGTTATTAGGCTATTCATCTGTAAAGAGAAAAACCTACTCTGTATATTCGGCAATTTCCCTCAGCGCCATAACGCTTTCTTCTTTCTCTTCCATATAGGCGTTCTCAACGCTATAACCTTCGACCTCGTCGTTATCATCCTCGTTATCCGTGCATTCGATGTCTTCTTCTTCGTCCTCTCGTTCATTCTCGGTGTCGCTGAGATCGTCGTAAACTGTGAGAGCGTTAGCGTCGTCGTCCTTAAAATGCATCTGCAACAACGGTGTTACATTTACGCCATTTCCGGTTATGGTCTTTCTCGACTCTCGTGATTCGTGCAATAATTACCAAAATCCCATCCGCGCTCCGTATACTCATTATCATGTACTCGACAATTTCGGGCAGGGTCACAGCCATCTCCTTCTTCATTACCGTGCTGATAGCGGCGAACAGTCCGTAGAGAGATTTCCGCAAGTCCGGATCAATCGTACTTCTCAATAGTTTTATTCCAAGATCGAGTGACGTGGCCGCCAACGGGGCGAAATGTTCCTTGCCTATCGACCTGGCTATCACTCCGAGAGTATCTAAAATTATTAGAGATGTAAGATATAGAAAATATCATTACAGCGCTTCACTGTAACGCGATTCTCACCACGGAGAGAATTTTATTTTTAAATTTATCCTGCAAATCATGTTAATCGTAGGACGACATAGTATTTCGACGAATTTTATGTGATTTTCACTATATTTTTTAAATATATACTACAACAAATTTATTGTAGTGCACAGTAAAATTTGTCGAAATATTATGTTGTCCCACGATTAACATGATTTTCAGGGTAAAGTTTAAAAGGAAATTCTCTGCGTGCACTAACCGACTGCCTGAACTTGAAGACACATGTTTTCCTCGCTCGGCTCCGTGGTAAGATAATTGTTGAGAATGTTTATGATAGTTTCGAAATACGGTAGCATATGCTCCTTGCTGGCGCAAGCGGCGGCGCCTATCGCGCTCAAGGTAAGCTCCTTCACGTGCGACGACGTGTCCGCGTTCAGGATGTCGAACAGCCTCTCCATCAACTTCGGCAGGTACGGTAGGATCCTCTCGTGCAAGTTCTCGCAGAACATCTCAAGAGCGTAGAACATACGGCCGACCGCGTGCGGCTCCTTCTTCTCTTGCTTGATGTACGAGCACACCTGGCCGAGGTATTCGAACAGTACGGGCAACAATTCGGACGAGTACTGCGAGATCTCCGGTTGCAGGTGCTCGGAGTATTGTCCCAAGGCATAAAGCGCGGCGTTGCGCACGATGGGCGAGGGATAGGAGATTCCCTCGCAGATACATCGCAGAAAGAATTCAAGGTAGTTCGAACGGATGTATTCGGCGCAGCCTTCCGCTAGCACAGCTATAGCCACGTACGACGTCTTCTTCACGTAATCATCTGTGTTTCTGATTCCAGGTTCGATGTGCCGCAACTGTGAAATTAATATCTCTTCACTTTGGAACAGTTTTCTTAAATTTGATAGAGAGAATAATTAAAAATGTAAAACAACTAACATTTGTGGAGATGAAAAACGCATAAATTCATTCGTAATATTGGTCGATATCAATTAATCAATAAAACAAGACATTAAAGTTACATATAATATAATTCTATAATTAAAATTCTCTGTTACGATAATTTTTTATTTCTAACACTAGTAAAATAAATTCCAAAGCTTACCAAATGTGGAATTAATTTCTCCGGCGGCAAATTCATCGCGAGCAAGTCCAAAGTTTGCGTAGCGCTCGTTAAAACGGTATTATCATTTTCTGCATTTGAATAATCATCGTCTTCGTCTGGCTTACTCATCATGACTGCGAATAACATGTCTGCAAATCGCGAGAATCAATTAAGTGTCTTCCTGCCAATACTAGGGCTAATTACTATAAGAGATATTGCTGTCGCTCACCGACGATAGGTTCCACTAACTTGTGCTTCACAAGAGCCTTTTTCTTTAATCTCGCTAGCCATCCGATAAAACTGATCACCCTAACTTTCAAGAGTTCGTCCGTACGCTTATTGGCGATGATCGTAAGGCACATATGGACAAGAGGTTTCACGTGGGGTGTTATCACGGTAATCATATTCTCGCACAATTCGTCCAGCAAGTCGAAACTCTGGATGGCAAAAGTGTCGTTTTCGGTTTCGGAGAAGGCTTGAATCGTGGTCATTATGAGCGGCATCATTGTAGCGTACGTGTGCACTGTCTGGAATACATACAGACGTATTTATTTTAACAACGATATTTGATAACAATCGACATTGGGGTGACGCGTGGCTACGTGTAGGAGCGGCTGACTCGTAATCGGCAGATCCCAAGTTCGAACACAACCCTCACCCCATATATATGTATATGTATAGTTTACAAGAGGTGTTCTGAGAGATTTATCTGAATTTTTATAAGAGACTCGAAAGTGTTTAAAAAAAAGTTCTGTATAAAAGTGCACGATATATAATAACTGTAATCCGTTTCAGAAACGGATATGTAATACAATATACAAGTAAATAAACTTGTACTAATAACATACAATGACTATAAACATTGTATATATAGTAAACAATGTATATGTAATAAAGTAATGAAAATTTAGCATGAACCTCACGTGCGACACCAATCGTTTCGTCGTGTTTAGCTACAGAAAGACGAGATGTCGCAATGTGTTCAAAATGTAAAGTAAATATTAAACTAATACAAACATACAATGATTATAAACATTGACTGTGTATAAATATAAGAAAATAATGAAAATTTGGCATAAACACCACATACAATACCAACCGTTTCGTCGTGTTTAGCTGCAGGAATGAGATGTCGCAATGTGTTCAAAATGTAAAAAGCAGCAGGGTTTCCTAAGCTCTGAAGACTGCTCAACGTTTGAGCGAGGAGCATTACCAGAGATCTGGCATGCGAGGTATAAGCATCCGGAGTAACGTCTGTCATAATTGATAAAGTATAAAGGCCTAGCTAGAATGAAACATTTCATATCATAAAATAATTAACAGGCTCTTGAATATTCTTCTTACAAAAAAAAATGTCCAAATTGAATTGAATCTCTCTTGATTGTATATGATAATCAACATGATATTAAACATTCATTTAATATCGCTTTGCAAAAAAAAGTTGATATTAAGTTGACATTTAGTTTTTTACTTACTTCTTTATCCTCCAATCTTTCACTCGTGATTAACCGTTGCACATAATGTATAATTTCTGGCCAGCTATTTGTAGGTAATTCATGTTTAACAATAACACCTATTAATTGAGCTATACTATTTCTAACCAAGTTTACCGATTCATGTTCTAGGGCCTGAAAAAAAATATAATAGATAACGTGAAATAACATTAAAATAATTATAAAAATTGCTTAAACCATAAAATCTCTAGTTCTGTCATTCTTAATATCTTTGCCTTTTGCCAAGAGAATATATCTTCCAGTTTAAATATCCTTTAGGATTTGCAATAATAACCTTATTTCAACGTTTAAATAAGCAATACAACTTCGACAGATTAATTTAACGTGTACATACAAAAAACTTTATAATGGAAATATTGAATGAATTCAATAATGATATGAAAATCTGTGACTTAAATTATAGATGTGCAAAATACAAATTTCTCACCTGTAATATAATTTTCTTAAATTCGGTTCGTACAGGTACAGACAATTTTGTCCAGTACTTTCCCTTAGTGTAACGTCTCCTAAGAATGAGAGTCGCATACTGCCGTACCTAAAAACAATCCATTTGCCATTTACATGTATTTGCTCAAGGTGATGAAAATCGACTTGATTACTGTAATGAAATCACGAACCTCTGGATTCGACGACGTTAGGACAAGTTGGTACAAAGCTGGCACACTTTCGGGATTCTGAAGTACTTTCTTGAGCTCCTTAGTTGCCTGAAATTAGATGCATAGATATTACAAAACGATTTCCGGAAAAGTTACCGAATTGTCGTCTAAACTCTAAATATTGCAACAGATGACAATAATAATAGAGAATGATAATCAAAACAGAAGACGGACGAGCTGAAGATCACGTTGCAAACAAGAAAATTCTGTGAATCCGCGAGACAATTTCGCGAGTGTCAAGCGATATTCATCTCAGTAAAACCGAGGATGAAACACACCAACTGATCGAACGAAACGAAAACACGTGTTCGCGAGGTGCCTTCAACTCCGATGTGACAAAGGCAAAATACGTTGAATATCGGGCACGCACGAACCTCCTGTATTGTAGCGCTGTCGGACACGAGCAGATTCAACAGCAGGCGCTCCATTTTTCCCTTCTCCTCGAATTTTTCCTTTGCCTTAGCCGAAAGGTAGAAATTCGCTCGAGAGCACAAACGGAAGGTCGACCCGAATGCTGCCCACCGCCGCCATTCAGACCTACGAGGGACCTGTTCGGAGCATCGTGATCGTGATTCAGACCTGTTGGCGACGTCTATGCGCGGATGCGGCCGATCAGCCGATGCGCCTCGCCGTCAGAGGGCCATCTTGTCGGCGCGGCCGCGGCGGTACCTGACCTTTTCTTTGTTTTCTTTTTTTTTTCTCTCTCCTAATCACGACATTCCGCTGATCTCAAATACCGTAAAGGCGATCGTGATTAAATTGAGAAACGGCACAAACGTGACAATCGACACACCTGAAGTTTCTTCATTGAGGAACACGGCTAAAACGATATACAGTAATAGGTATGTAGAGCACATTATGCGTATATACATACATACAATTGCAGCTAGGTATCGGATTGTAATGTCATTTTTTATTTATTCATTTGATCTCATATGTTTACATAATATTTTCTCTTACATTTTATCTCTGTCAGATAATACATCATAATTATTTTAATTAATATAAAAAAAATGTATATGCTAATATGCCATCGACGAGGCATTCGGTGCTAAGACCTATAAGTATGCGCACTGCTATTATCCACCAACGAGTATATCTCTCGTCGGTGCTTTTATTCATTACCAACGATTGGTCATGTCAACATCCTGTAAAATGAATTATCTAGCCGACAAATTCAAGACTGCAGGCTCACTCTGATTTAAAGACATGGTGAATGATATTTTTGAAATTTTATTTTTTTACATGCTAAATAATATAAGACATTTTTCTTTTAATCTTTATACATATACTTCATGAAATTTCTATTAATATGAATTAATTGTATTATTGCATAATTTATTATAATGCAATAGTATAATTCTCATAAATTAATATCACACACAGTTTAACGAAATTTTTAATGCTAATTACTACAATTTTTGTGCAAAAAATGACACAAATATTTTATAATAACTATATTTTGAAGTGCCTTATTACTTTAACTAGAGATAATCAATTTCATATAATTAAAAAATATATTTTATAAAAAAATTTATGAATTTTTGATTATAGTTAGAAAACACTTATTCATATTAATTACTAAAATAATTATTTTTTTCATTCTCGATATTTAATAATTGCAATAATCGCATTCACAATCAGTTATAGAAATGAATTATTTTAGTCGATTACCATGTTATAAAAATAATTGATCGAATACAGTAGGTACAGGAATATTACATTTGTCGTCGATATATTATTACTTTTGAATCAGATGCCGAGTGTAACCGTAGCCTGTATATCGTTGCAGCGCAACTCTTTTGTGTCTGGAGACGATTTTCTTTTTATCTAAACATCTACAAAAATCTTTTTTATTTAAACGCCCACGTAGCATAAATCGCTAGTCTGCTCGCTTTAGATCTAATCTTCCCGTATTGTGGACCAGTTTATTATTTTAGAACGAACTCCCTCCTAAGGAATGCCTGTTCTCCACTACCCTCTCGTTCACTTCTCATCTCGTTCCCTCTTTCTCTCTTTCTTATTCTCGTTCATGTAAAACCTTCTCGAAATAATGTAGTTATTCCAATTTTTTTTAATCAGTATTATTTTAAAAATTTATCTATGAATGCACGCGTGCAATCCGATCGTAGTTTAGCTTTCATCTTTTCTACTTGAAGTTGTTTTCTATACTTTAATGGTTCTACGAGTATTTTAACGTGAATTGACATCAGCAGATTATAGGCAGATTCGAACGAAAATTGCAACGAATTGGCATCGATTTGCATTCGCATTAAAGTTCGTCTTCTACTAGAGACGAATTGCAGAGCTCGCGAACATAAAATATGATGGCAGATCGTTGGCAAACGCAGCTTCTGCAGTTTCTGTCGATCAAATTGAATTGAATATATCCTACCATTATATTTTGTCGAGGAGAACTTTGCTACACTTGTGCCAATATTCTGTCGACAGCATTGCACGTACGGTAAATTCTATGCGATCAATTTCTCTCAAATTCAGGCTCATTCTCCCGACAATATTTGTGGCAAAGATTTATAGTTTATTTTCACGAAATTAACCCTGCTCAGGATACAGAATAAAATTTATGAAAGGCGTACATTAGACTTATCCTATAATTTCGAGATTAAAGCATTTTTATGCAAAGCTATCTTGAACACACGTGAACGATACTTGGCGTATCTTTATACGTACGACATGAAGCTTGACATGAGTGTCGGTACTTGAGCCGAGTAAGAGAGCAAATCTCGAGACTTACCTTCCTTGATCTCCTTGCACTTCTCATCATTTTTATTATCACTTATTTAATATGATACATAGTTGAATATATTTTTCTTAACAGATAAAAAAGTTTACCCGTCAATACACTTATTATTTTTTAAACAAAATACAAAGGAATTATAATTGAGAATCTATCATTTTTCAATTTTCACATTTTTAAAAATAATATATTAATGAACCGAAACGACATAACGAAAGACATAACTGTTACAATTTTAAAGTTAATTGAATAAAGCGGAAAGACAAAATTGTAAATATCGTCGTTTAATGTATATTTTTATTTAAGTTTTCGCAAATGTATTAAAAGTTTCTATTTTTGACTGAAGAGAATTGAAGTATGTTTTTTACTTCGCGTGAGGCTTATCTTCCACCTCGATGGAACGAAACATCGCCTCGGCAACACGAACACCAAAACACCAACGGAGGCTGTCAGCGACGTCGTTGAGTGACTCTTCTTGCACCTCGTGTATGCATTCGTCGTCGGCTTAATGTGCATTCCGCTCGCGACGTTCGCTAAAGAAGAATTCCTCTGCGCGCTATCTTATTCGCTCCCAATAGCTAGAGAACTTCGATTCGACGAAATTCGGTCACGAGGTCACTTTTTAATCGAGGGAAAATCTTGAAATTATGTCAAATTATTTAGATTTTTAGTTCGTGCAGCTTTGACTACGTTTCGTGAATTTAATATTATATGTAATATAAAATTACATAATGCTTCTCATAGCATAGTTGAAATATAGCTTAATTATTTTCTAATTAATATGAAGAAAAGCCTATTATTATAATATATATAAAGAAGAAATATGTTCACAATTTTTATTGTAAATTATATGTAATTATTTGTTGGAAGCAAAAGAGTTATATATTATATGACGTAAATGACGTGCATACGTTGCGTCCAAGTGATCTCTTCGCCATCGCCATACAATGAAGTAATTATTTCAAGTTCGCACGAAATCCCGAGCGATCGGAATCTGAGAAAAACCGTAGAACGGGAACGTCCCAATAATCCATCGGAGGGAACTTACCTCATAGAGAATCTCCCGAGCCGTTTCCTCCAACCGCACCGATAACGTTCTAAGATCAGCGGTAGTGTCAGCACTATTTCGGGAGCTGACAAGGACCGATCGCCGAGTCGCGTTTCCGCGATAGAGGAGCCGCGACTCCGTGGGTCTTACACCGCCACCGGACGCGATTTTCCCAAAGAACGACGGAGCCGGCGTTTTTCAACACGTGACAGACCTCTCTCTCTCTCTCCTCTCTCCTCGCCGGTTATGCTCAAATAAGGCGCGACCGTCGGACCTAAAAAGGCCGAAAAAGAAGCCTTCCGCCGCAGTCACTTTTATGGCGGGCAAACATGCCCTTCCAGCAAACGTGGCGCGCAGCGTTTCTTAACAGCAGCATGTTGCTGTCTGTCGCTCATGATGCATCCTGTCCGTCTACGAATATCTCAAAACATTTGAAATCCGACGTAACCGAGACACAAATCCTTACGCGTGAAAACCACGCGATCTTTATTTCAAAGAAACATCCTTTTTTTCGTCTATTTCATATTTCTTACAGAATACTGATCGGATAATATTTTCTCTTTCTTTTTTATTTTTCCTGTACAATTAAGAATTTTTATAACATTATAAGAAAATAAAAAAAAAAGAGAAATTTTATCGAAAAAATTAAATCGCCGCGTCATTGAGTTTATCCGTCACTCGATGACGCGTCTCCAAACTGTCTGATGACTGATGTTGGGGAATTTGCCAGTCGAGACGAAGTAAATATCTGGAAGGAGGCTTCCGGTATCAATAAACTGTTATCGTCACCGCAAAACCGTTGTGACGTAAATGATTCGTGTAGGGCTACTGTTTAGATGGATCATCTGCGTTTATAGCACGCATGACACCCCTTTGACGTCACAATTCTCTTGTATTTCCTCGTATCTATCTCGATGCTTATAATCGTCAGTATTAAAAATTAAAAGAAATTAATAAATATTTATCTTCTTTTTTTTTACAATTATTATGCTATATCTAATATTGTTATGAAAAAAATCATTCATTAAAGTTTCGTGTTTCGTGAACAGTTATGTCATTTAATACGTATATCTGTTTGAATAATATCGGGTTGGAAAATTGGGCACGAGATCAATGAAGAGATCAACAGGGAATTTTCTTAGCAAACATTATTTAATTCTACAGACTTACTTTCTGTGTTCTAGACTTAAATTAATTACATTGATTAATGAATTATAAATACAAATAGGATACGGTCGAGATGCATCAACGTTTTTTTTTTTTTAAGCGGACGTATCTCTCGACGCATGTCGCGTTACACGCGCTTGAGCCACAATCGATCGTGATACATCTTTTTCGTAATTATATATTTTACACTTTTCTTTTTACATACTTCGCTTATTCACGCCCGCAAATCGAGAATCAAACTATCCGCGCGTTATTATTTCTCGCATCATCGATTTATAAATCGAATTTTTGTTGGACTACAAAGATGTTGAAAAATCTGCAATTCTATGTAGAACTGTGTGCGCGTAAGTCAGTGTTTTCCAATTCTAAATAAAGCAAATATTAATGAACTTAATGAAGTATTAATTTTTATAGCTAATCTTAGCTATCGAAATTATGTCCTATTAATTCGAAAATATGTGCAATAATGTAAAAGCATTCAAACTAAAAGATTCAAGATTTATAGCTCACGTACTGAATTCAATAAAAAACTGCTAATTTTGTATAAAATTTAACTTATAATTCCGCATTCGTTTCTTCCAAGCTAGACGATATCGGATTCGGAATGCACGTAATGAGAGACTTTAACTTAAGGTTTGCTCACGAAAGTGCTAGGTGCGTTCAACGTTTGAGATACGAAACTTTCAATGAAAATAATTTTACGGATTTAATAACTTTTTTCTTGTCTTCGCCAAAAAAAAAACGTCTTCACATACTGTACTTGATCTGATCGTAGTACATCGTCGTAGGCGGAGGTGTCGACGTGTGATGAATATTCGTGGAAACTGTGCCAGGTATGTTGGATATGCTCAGACCGCCGAGATTGCTCAGATTTAACGAACCCAATGAACCCAGGGAGCTCAGGGTCACCGAGCTTCCGGGATGCGCGAAATAGGATGGTTTCCGATCAACAATGCCGCCACCGGAACTGTTCGAACTGGAGCTGGAATTGGTGCACTGCATTTTTATTCCTGAAACAGATCGGCAGATTCCCATATTATTTCGAAGTTAACGTGTATCGGTTTCGTATAAGATCACCGCTCAAAGTACTTGAAAAATCTTTTTATTGCCCTAGAATTAATTTCTTCTTAGCGAAATTATAATTAAACTGTCAAAAAAATTGATATCTAAATCTTAAATTATCCTCTTAAAGTCGATTATTAATATTTTGTATTTTTCAAGTAGCTTTCTCGAGGACTAACGATGTACTCGTGCGAATTTCTTTTTTCTTTGTCCATTTTAACGTAAAGTGTGAAGTCCGAAAATATTTGATTCCGATCTTAAAACATTCTACGTATCCGGATGAGATTTCATCCAGTTTTGCTACTTAAGACTGCACGCGGTGTAAGAGTAATGGTGGAAAGAAACGAAAGATCTCACGATAGAAATTGGTACTTGGGGCAGGCATCCATAAATCTAAAGCTCCGCCAGTTCTCAAGTAGCTTCCTCTCGACCAGCCACTTCACTCGTGTCTCGATTTTGTTCTGTTTTTTTCCCTCTTTCTCTTTTGCATCCTCATATTAATTTCACAAGTGGATCACAGAGTTGCTCGATTCACTTTAAAAAATCTCGTTGACCATTTCTTTTTTCTCGCAAGATTTCTCAAAATATTTGCACAGGTCGAACAAATTTTTAATCCTTTAGATCTTTTAGATATTACTTTAAATATTTTAACTTCCTCAAGGCTTCGAAATTGCGTCACGTCATTCCTCGAAAATTCGAAGATTGGCGAGTTCTCTCGATTCGACATCGCGACGCCTCGGAGCGACGTCCACGTGGGTGGTCCGATGGCGCTGCTGCCAGTCAAAATCCCTCTCCGTGGATCCAAATGCTCTCGGCGACCGTGCTCGCGCCATTTCTTCTTGTTCTTCTTTTTCCTTTTCTCTTCTTCGCGAGCGCACACGCGGCAGCGCCCGCGCGAGGATGCTGCAGGCTTTCAAGGAGCACAGAAGTCGCTTCTAACCGAATACCGGCACAACAGGCCATAGTTCGGAGCAAAGAGATCGCGCTCCAGAAATATACGGAGAGCGCGGCGTGTAAGAAGAGTAAAAAGACGTGCCTACGTGGCGTCTGTGTGGATCGATCTCGTTTACACTTCACTGTGACTGACGGAAGACGGAACAAGAAGAAGAAGAAGAAGAACAAGAAGAAGTCTGCGGTGGAGGAAGCGTGGGTGGCGGCGTTTATCTCCTGTCGATCCGCGTTGTATCGAGATACAGAGGGAAGAGACTTACCCTCCTTAATCGAGATTAGACCGTTCGCAAACCGGGATATTTGTAGAATCTTAGAAACACGCTGGTGAATATTTTTCGCCGCTTACTTCGTCCAAATTAGGTACGTCCGTATGTGTGGTGTCAAATTACATATAAATAAAATATGTCAGGAGTTTTTTTTTCTGAGTACTTCAAACGTTAGTTTTGAATTTGCAGAAATGGCTAGTCTATAATAAATAATCCGATCATTTTTTGCTTTGAATTAATTTTTCTAAAAAGCGCATAGCTTTTTTCAAGAAAAAAACCTACAACTTTATTCGAGATTTATAAAATTGTCAGGCTAATTTGTTTTTTAATTGTTGGCTAATAGTTAGTCGAAAACTTAAAAGAAGACTTACGAGGGTTTAAATGTACAATTTGCGGATCTCGACATGCTGTCGGTAAGATAACGCCGTAAATATTACGATGTTCCATTCTCCGTAGGGTTAAGGCCGAATTAAGTCACCTCGTTTATACCTCCGATAAATATTTAGGCAATAAACGATTCGAGCGCGCACTTGCTAACACGCGACTACGCCGGAGAGGCAAAAAGCTACATTTCAGAAGTGATTATTTTGAAGCATGGAGCGTCTAATTATCATATCGCATTTATCTATCAAATAATCTCTTGCTAAAATATAACAAAATATCAATATAAAAAAATTTAAATGAGGAAACGTACTTGTGATATATAATAGACTGCGAATAAAATATCGCTGCAGATCTAGTAAATACGATATATATCTTTGCCTCGCATGACGTGATGAAAACTGTCAAGTGTTTCGTTACCGTTGTCATAAAACGCGGTGTTAACGAGCGTTTTATTATCGCGTTGTTGAACGCAGACGCTGGCTAAATTAATCTCGCGAGAAAAGGAAACGACGCCTCAGTCTTACGGCGGGTTACACGTGTTAAGTTACAAGGTACAAGTTACGAGTTCGAAGCGTCGTATAGGCGTGACAGGGACGTCGCCTCGGTTAATCGTTTCTGTCAGCGGCGACGACGCACACTGTATCTACCCATCCTGTGTATTTCTGCAGTGATATTAATCTTTTTAACGTGTTATTATGACCAATTAAAATTATCTAAACATACCAATAAATAATTTAAATACTTTATCATATATACATTTTTTTAAAAGTAATTATGTGAAAATAAATGTAACACGTTTACATGTTTATACTGTTTGTAGATATAACTACGTAAATGCAATGAAGATTTATTGAGGATGTAATTAAAAAGAATTAAATTAAATATTAAATTAAGAAGTAATAGTAAATACGTTCATACGATTAAAATTATCATATATTAAATTATCAGAGCGATAAGATACGAGAATTAAGAATTTCGAACTAAGCAGATCCAATCAAGTGGGAATTATATTTTTATATAATAAAAAATTATCTCTATTACATCGATTTGACGAACTGTGACCTGATATGCCCATGAAATTCTAGCTATAGAGGAAGGATGGAAGGCTCGAAAGAATAGTCGTGCCGTGGTTTCACTTTGCAGGACACGGCGCCTGAAAGATCGTAAACTGTCTCCAATTTTCCAGATGGCCCCTAAATGACGTCGCGGATCCGTCAACGTTATCCTCGCGATGCAAAAAGAATTTAAGGGTCGCAGGCACGATTTCGCTGCATTTGTCGTGTCGTGTTCTGTGGTCTCGTATTTTATCAAGTTTGCATTAAAAAAAAATTTTCAATAACAAAGTAGACCGCTTCCAACTCGAGTTCTCGCATTACCTCTAATTATCACATACATATAAATTTTTTACGTCTCTCATTTTTAGTTCGATCCATGTTCCATTATTTGTAAGTTTGTTTTCTATTTCGTATTGTATTACATATTATTACAAATTACATAACTTAGGATCCTTAACATTAATGATCCTAAAGTTTCGTTATTAAAATTTCAGAGACTTTTCGGATCTGTAATATTTTATAATATTCACTAAAAGCCTTTGTATAAGCTATTTAAGAATTAATGACATAAACTCATAATATAAATAAGTGATACATAAAAGTGGTAGTTATTATAACCGCTTTCTAAATTTATTATAACTAATTTTTAGCAATTTGCAATATTTTGGAAATTAATAACATGATTAAGAATATACACATGTATACGACAAAACAGAAGATGTCGTGAAATGACACCGCGACTCACCATGATCCGCGGCAGGAGTCTGACATCCGCTGTGCGGCGAGCTGACGTTGGTCACGGGGCTGCTGTTACCACCCGGCTGTTCCTGCATAGATTGCATGGTGATGTTCACGCCGTGGCCGGCAGCATTGTTGACACCTGCGAGACCATAACCGACGTAATAATCCTGCCCGGGCGCTTGAGTGGTGGGCGTCGAGTTGGCACACTTATAGCCCATCATGGCTTCGTCCTTATAGTCGGTGTGATGTTGCGGATGATGATCCTTGACAGTCGAGAATCCGTCGGCCGGCGGCCTGTACGCGGTCAGCTGATCCTGGCCGCGGGCACTGAAAGCCCCGGGCTCGCTCTTGAACGTCACCAGCTCGCCGTTTCTGTAAACCGACGGCGTCGTCTCGCCGGTCTTGTACGTGACCTCGGTGGTCTTGTAGGTCACCTCGGCTATCGGCGGCACCCCGGATTTATACGTCGCCGGGCTCTCCGGGTATGCCCAGTCAGCGGACACCGCCGCGCTCGGCCCGTACATGGCGTACTCCTGGTAGTTCTGATACTGATTCTGGTAGCCGTTCGCGTAGTCAATGCCACCGGGACCGGTGGCCAGATTCTCGTAGGGACCGGGCGTCTGCACGCCGACTCCGGGACCGGCGCCCGAGTAGTACTGCGGATACTGCGGCTTCAACGCCTGACACTTGCGCCGAAAGCCGCGCGGTCGCCGCCGAAAACTGCCCTCCTCGAACATGTACTCGGTGGACGGGTCGATGGTCCAGTAGTGGCCCTTGCCGGGCCGACCCAGACCCTTAGGCAGCTTGATGAAGCACTCGTTCAGGCTGAGATTGTGGCGCACCGAGTTCTTCCAGCCCTGATAGGTGCCGCGGAAGAATGGAAAGCGCTGCTGTAGAAATGAATAAATCTCCGAGAGGGTCAGCCTCTTGCCCGGACTCGACTGGATCGCCATCACAATCAGCGCGATGTACGAATACGGCGGCTTCTCCTGGCGCCGCGCGCCAGGTTTCCTCGCCTGCATCTCGCTGCTCGTCGGATTGCACATGAGCGGCTCCAAGCTCGTCTCCTGGGGCAGACTACCCGCGCTCATCGGCAGCACCGCCGATCGCGCGGCCACCGTCGAGGAGTTGGGATGCACGACGACTGTCTGCTCCTGTTGCTGGTGCAGGCTGCCGACGTCGGACTCGTTCTTCATGGCCAGCCGCATGCTCTCGGCGCCGACGACGTCGCGGGGCACCGATGGCACGATCACGCTCTGATCCATCGAGCTCTAATTCCCGACCGTCAAAGTCCGCCCGTGGTGAACATCTTACACGCGAATGTACGCCCTCGGATTTCCACGGGGCGATATAAGTACCACACAATCTTTGAATACACTATACGCTGAAGATTTCTTCGAGTGACGCGCGGCGCGCAGCGATAACACGAAGGATTGCACACAAAAAAAAAAATTATCGCCACGCGGTGTACTTTACGCGAAAATCAACATCGAGCCGATCCGATCGAGGATCCCATCGTTCCGCGGAGCAACGACCCCCGCCGCCCGTAGGGGGACCTTCGCCGCCTTCCAGTAAGCGCGACGCCGAGGTCGCGGATATTTACACGGTCGGATGTAAATTGTTTGCGCGATTCCGCCGCGGAGGGGTCAATTATTTAGACTCGCTTCGTCGGCGCGCGTAACGGGCTTACGTCGGGGCCGCGAGTCGCTATGATGCGCCGCTAAGTGTTTTCGGATGACTGCCGCTCGCCTCGCATGGCACGGGAGCGGAATCTGGACCGCGGATGACGTTGATCACGGCGTGACAGGGTCAGAGACGGGCGTCCCCCCACGTGGGCGGTTCGGACGAAGTCGAGCCACCCGGGACTCGGATTGGTCGTGGGTTGATGTTCCATATGAAAAGCCGGATGCTGCGCCCAATGGCGCCCTGAACCGCCTTCGACTCCAACGTCTTCTCCTTCATCGTCACCGAATTATGGGAAAGTGAATTGCGTAATGGCGTTATTTGGATTCGTCAGATGGTACGTGACATCGTCCGACTCATTACATTCCGTTACAATTATTACAAGGATGTTATCATTGTCCTTGATGCTGCAGAAAGAGCTAGAATGGATAAGATTTGATATTCGCTCGTTGGAGCAAAATCAAAAGTGTATGCTCAAGAAATTAAGAAATATTTGCAAGAATCCGCATGATATGATTTTAGAACTCTGAAAGAATCCAGAGGATGTCTAAGAATTATCTGAGAAATGTCTCGAAAATTCAGAAGCATTCTTTCAGTTTTTTCATTTAATGAATTCCTCAGAATGAGACACTCGCGAAAAAATATAATTAACCGCAAGCTCAGAAAACATCTGAAAAATATATGTCATAAAAATTTCAGATATTTTTTATGTTAAGCTACATGGCTTTATCGTGATAGCGATTAAAAAAAAAATAACGACCAAGATATACCATCGCTTTAATGGATGAATCGAATTAATCTGAATGTATCAATATATTTTAATAAAATAGTAATTAATAATGATTGATAAAAATTGTCAATTCTAAATATTAAATTTCGTAATAATAATTCTTAAATTAAAAATCTATTGAAGTTCTATTTGAATTTTAAATTTTACAAGATTTTATTTATCTATTTGTACTTTGTCGAAATGTTCAACCGCTACACTGTTAAATCTAGTGTCAAATTGAACCTCATTTAAGTCGCCAATGCTCTTATTATACTTAATAAATAGTTATTTTTAACTGAAACAATACAGTTACTTTTAAATAAAACAACAAAATTTAACCCAGATTTGGATTAAATTTGAATTGTTTTAAATTATTTAACTCCATTGTTTTAGTAAAAGATAACTATTTATTAAGTAGGAGTGGCGACTTAAGGTTCAGTTTGACACTATAAATTTAATAGTGTATAACTGAAAATCTATTTGAAAATTTATTGATGTTTCCATTAAGGAAAAATTAGCTCCAGATTGATTAAAATATTCATGGATGTATACAATGATTTCAAAATATCGTGAATGTATTTGAGTACTTGATATCAGTTTATTGACGTAAAATTCCCGCCACGATGTAAACGATGTTCAAGCGCTCACCAATACCCTTTGCACGAGCGGTTCGTACTTAGTTTGCTTGAAAATTGCAAGTGAGTATTGCCTCGTCGGATATCGCTATCTTGTATACTCACGATGAGTAATGTATCCGTCTTCGGAATCGCGCGGTGCACAGCCGCGAATGCATACGACGCGAAGATGAAGAGAAGCTATTGGTCCATTTCTTAGCCAACTGGATGCTGCGGATTTTGCTCCGCCTGTAGAACCGCCTCGACTATTTACTCACGACGAGAGTCATTGTCGCAAAACGGTAATTTTTTCATTGAGCAAAAATCTCCTATACTAATTTTTTTTTAATTCGGGCAATTCAACATATTGCTGCTGTAAAACAAAACTGGATAAAAAATTGAAGTTATTTATCTATTAATAAATGAATTACTAACATATTAATTTGACTAATCTAAGTATCTGATTATTTCAGTCGAAGCTTTCTTGAAATTATATTTCCAATATTTTATCTCTAAGAAGATAATTAATCGAATGCTTAACTGGATTTATTTTCCATGAAGATTTGGAGAATTTAAAAATGTTGTGTTATTTCGAAATATATATTAACAAATTAATATACAGATAACAATATTTTTAATTATATATGTGTACCACATTCAAACATCCAGAAAATAGTTTTTTTCTTTTAAAATGCTAGATAAAGTATTATCATATATTTTACAGTTTGGTCACCATATAATTATAATTGATTCCGTAAAGGCTAGAAATAATTTTCTGGCGCATGATTATTGCTGCACGTGTAGATCATCGTATATCTTCTAACGATGCTCAGGCAATCGTCACTCGATACCAATAAGAATGTCAGCGATCAAAATGTCAATGTCGATCGATCGGGACGAAATTATATGTTTATTCGCCGTTACGCGTGACCGAGTGTCGAATGACCAACGACAGAAAGAGAATTCATGCCTTATCACGGTGCTCTGTTCCACGTGCTTCACTTTATTACAATCCTTGAGAGATTGGTCCCGAAGGGATGGTACTTTCAAGAGGTCGTAAACGGGAAATTTTACTCGTAAAATACGAGAGTTTGCAGTGATACCCACCCTAAGAGAGTGCATGCGCTAAAAAGGGAAAGTAGAGAATGCTATAAAATAACGAAACGTAATCCAGATAAACTGTACAGAATTTATTTGTGATAACTGACATAGCGATTGTCCACGGTATAAAAAATCAGTCTCTAGTTTAGAAACTTCTACTTAAATTTTTATAAACAAAAATCGACAATTTCTCGTGCACGATTGCAGCAATAGACATTTAATTTCTGAAGAATTTGGTTGCGCAATATTTTTTTTTAAATCATATTGGTCAAGAAAGAAGACAGAGAATAGGTAAATCTATTTACCAAGAATTCATTTGTTATCAGTCAAATTGGATATTAGAGAAATGGTGGGCGAGGATGTTAGACCACACGGTGCATGCTGTAGACCACGAATTCTCAGGAGGAGTTTGTTTGCCTTAGAGCAAACGAGCCGACGAAAGAGGAGCAACACGGCCATCTTGTCTCTGCCTTCGTACTTCCTCTCTGCAACGAGCGCCGGTTCTTCTCCCCGCGATCTGCGTCATCTATCCGTTTTCTTAGCTCTAATTAGGACAATGAATATCGATATCGTACGTAGCAAGTTTTTCAGACTACAGAAATTCTGTAAAAGGAATTTGCTTCAATACGCGAAATAAGAATATTCAGTAAATTAATTTAATTCGATACGCGAATGTAATCTTTGTTCGTCAATACTAAAAATAAAAAGTTAAAAGTTTTTTTAACTCTTTACTTTTGCAACAATATTTCTATACTTAACGTTCCTATATTTATGTGTAAATATTAGTGTTAAAGGAATTCTTTTCAACTTACTTGAAAATTGATATACTTTTTGAACCTAATTTTAATAATAATGTATATATTATTATATTTTGTCATTAATTTTGTTATTCTAAACATCAATTTCAATTCTGAAATCTTTAAAAAATAAACTCGAATCTTATATGATTCTATCATATGTTGATTTGTTTTGAAAAATTGTGTTTTAAAGAATACAAATCCAGAACTTAAGATTTGATATTACTACTTTTAACTTGTTTAACGTAAAAAGAGGATTCTCTAAAGAAAAACTTGTAGAAAGAAAAAACGCGGATATCCATTACGACAATACTTATATTTAAATGCCCAGCTCAAGCGAACATTCACTAGAATCAGTGGAGACTAGTAAATAGCCCTCGTGTCTTAAGGGTTGAAAGTCAAGTGTTTTGGTCCTCGTGATGATCGCTTTTCTCTTCTTCCTTCGAACCGAGAGAGAGAGAGAGAGAGAGAGAGAGAGTGAGAGAGAGAGCAACCCTCGTGGCACCGCCTGTTTACCGTTTACCGTTTTACTACTTTCGAACCCTCCCGTGACATTTTCTGCGACAGCTTCAAGTGCCTCTCCAAGGAAGAGTAATTGGCTTCTGCCATAAAGAGGAAAATGAGAAGATGTGTGGCACATCTCGGATCGGGTGACAATCAAATATTTGTACACAGGACTTTGACTTTAACGCTACAGGAAATATCAACGTAACTTACCACTTTACTTTTCGTCTATTAATTTCTATTCGCATCAATTGTTCACGTAACGAAAAAATAGTACTCCCAGCAAGATTTCAACGGGCGACTGAAGTCGGCGAGTTACAAGACAATCGAGCAACTTTATTGCGAGGGTCGTGGATGCTTTATTTAAGATAAAAGCGCTTTACAAAACCGGGACCACCCTAGAAAAACCCGTGTCGGTTGCACGTGTGCTCGTATAGGAAAACCGCAGACCGGAACCAGAGATTACGGTCAGGGCGGCTTCCGCGCGTTTATACGTATATGGCAGGGCGGTCCTTTTAATTACCTCGGCTGCATTTCCGAGTGATTGTGAAATGTGTGTGTGGGTGTGTGTGTGTGCTGTCATTTTTTCCTCTGCATGCAAATTTATTGCCGGAAAAATGTTCTTTCAAACGAAAAGAAGAGTGGACTATTTTATTATCTATATATATGTATAATCCTATATAGCAATTTCTTTTCTAAAAAGTATATTGTTTCTGTACTATTATAATTTCGTATTGTATTAGGAATTATACGATTGTTTAGACTTATGTCTATTTTGTCACGCATGCTTAGGTAGGTATAGGAAAAAGGTCAATAAACAGCCGCAACGATGAGGGCAAACTAATGCGAACACTGCAGGTACACGGAAAGAACGATTTTGTTGAAGGATCTAAAAATTTTGCTAAAAACAGATCTGCAGAAAATAATTTTTTGGAATATTTAAACTGATAAGCATTGCTATAATAAACGTTTCGATATTCTAGCAATGACTTTGACTTTCGCACAAAATTATTTTGATTATTGAACAAAAATTATTATCAGATCTGGATTCAGCAAAATTGTTCTTTCCGTGTAGCGAATTTTGAGCGGCAAGACGCGCGGTAAGACAAAACCGTCAACAGGTGCATTTGTGAATGGTCGAAGTCGGAACATGCCGCGGTAACACGCGCGTATCGGATGCGCGCTAAAAGGACAAGGAGAGGGTTCGTTAGGCG